GTGTGTGTGTGTGTGTGTGTGTGTGCACAGTAAAAAATTTTTCGTCAATGTGTAAAGTGTAAAAATTTTTGTGTAGCAAATTACACTCTAGTGTGTATAATTTTACATTCTCATGTGTTGATTCAACACACTAGAATGTAGAATTAACATTAGTTTGTGTAAAAACAGTCAGTAACACAAATATTTGTGTTGAATTTGACGAAAATTTTTTTACTGCATGTAAAAAAAATTAGAAAAGAAATTTTTTGTAGTTAAAAAATTTTTTTTCCTCTGAAATTGTAGGAAATGACGTTAAAATATATTTTAAAAAGCTAAAAAGCGTTTTTAGGGAAAAAAATTTTTTTTCGAAATTTTGAGGGTACCTCATTTTGCCCCCCCCCTCCCCTACACAGAAAATTAACTTGATTTAAGAGAAAAATTCTTGAATCAAGAAAATTATTTTATCATTTTGAATCAAGACAAAAAATTCTTGAATAAAGTAAAATTTACTTAAACCAAGAAGAATTCCTTAGTTTAAGAATTTTTCTATTCAAATCAAAAAGATGAAGTTCTTCAAAATTATTTACTTAATTCAAGTTAAATTTTTTTTTCTGTGTAAATATTCTTTCTAAAAGTTTGTGTAAATTTATTATTAATGACTTTACACTAAATACTTCTAAATAACTCACCCAATTTGTAAAACAAATTTTTAAAACACACTGAACGACAGTATTGCATAAAATGAACTTGGCCTCAGTTTATTCACAAGTATCATTGACATTCATGATTCATGTGAAATTATTCACCTCAACTTGTCCTCTCAATTATCATCTTGCATAATAATCCCATTTATTATGCAACGTATTTATTATAATATTAATCTAAATTTTTTGACAATTTATTGCCTGAAAAAAATTTTTTCTTAAATTATTTTATTTTTTTTTTTACTATTATACTAATTGTAATATTTATTACAGGTGGGTAACAGAGATACACTGACGTCTGTAGCAGCAAGATTTGACACCACACCGTCAGAATTGAGCAAATTAAATCGACTTGGCAGCACTTTTATTTACCCTGGCCAGCAGCTCTGGGTGCCGATAAAAGGCGAAGCTCGGTTGGGCGGTGATGGAGCTACACTGGACGCTCCCAGTCCTGATCCTGGTCATGATCATGACTCACAAGATGATTTGCCGCCTGAAGAAAAGGGTAATTTAATTATATGTAGATTAGATTATTAATTAATAATTAGAATTTTAACAAATACGTCGTTAAAAGTGATGAAAATTAAATTAGCAGACATCTGACAATTTTTTTTATTAAAAAAATTATTAAAGGAAAAATTTAGCATTCAGATAATTTAAAAAACTATAAGTGCAATTTTTTATAAATATTTTTTTTGTTCAAATTTAATTCATTAAAAAAATTTTTAAATGTCTTCTAATTTCATATGAATTAATTAAGAAGATATTTGATAATTTTTATAACAAATAAATTATGGCAAAAAAAATTTTGATGTGTAAAAATTTTAATAAATTAAAAATGAAATTTTTTTAAAATAATTTTTATTTTTTAATTTGTTTCTTAAAAAAAAAATTATAAATTGATCAAGTTTCTGCTAACTTTAATTTAAGGATCATTTAAAAGTGAATTTGATAAAAAATAATGTGGAACGATTTAAACATTAAAATATATTTTTTTTCAGAATTATTGGATAACTTACGGCCTGTTTCACCAAAACCAGGTCACATGGAACGAGTTAAAACCCCGCTTGACAGTGGTAATGCAGCAGCTATGGATGAGGATGAACCAGCCTACAGAGAGAGATTTTTGAAGATCAACGTTCGTCATATCACTGATGGACAGGTAGTGTTTCATACAAACTAAAAGCTTTTTCGCGTTCATGAATATTAAAACTTGCTATAAAATTCCATTAAAAGAAAATAACTATAATAATATATTGTTCTCTTACCAGGGTGTAGTCGGGGGTGTTTTATTGGTGACACCAAATGCCGTAATGTTTGATCCAAATGTGTCAGACCCGTTGGTTATAGAGCACGGAGCGGAATCGTACGGTGTGATTGCGCCAATGGAGTTCGTAGTTAACGCTGCGATTTACTACGATATTGCCCACATGCGGGTCAGCCATACAGACGCCATGAGTTCGGACAAGAAGCCGGAGATTTATTACATGAAGAAGCCAGAGAGAAGTGATGCCCGGAAGTGTTTATCACCCGGCAAGGATGATAATTTTTCGGAACTTGCCGGTGACGACAATGAAAGCGTTTGTAGCTGCGCTGAAAGAGAAGGCGATGCCTTTCCAAAGGCCTTTGAACGAGACCTTGTCACTCCTACTAATTTACAGAGCGTATGTTAATTTATCAGTATAATTAACTTATTAATTTACTGTAATAGAAATAATTTTAATTAATTTCTGCTGTTGTATAACGGTACAAGTTAGAAGCCACGATTAAACTTTGGCAAAGCCCGAGTTTTAGTTTTAGTTTCAGTAGTAGTAATTGTAAGACCGGCGAGGTGATGAATAATTAATGTTCAATTGTAGGACGAGGGAGCTAATTCTGGAAAAGATAAAGATAAGGATAAAGACAAAGACAGAGAGGATAAGGACAAAGATAAAGATAAAGATAAAGATAAAGATAAATTGGATGAGACCGCTGAGAAAGATCTTTGTGTCGGACAATCCAGTAGGACACTCGAGGAACGCAGGCGTTCCATGCTGGATCATCACTGGGCCGTTCCGAGCAAAGACAGATGCTCATTTTCTGTCGACGATGAGCAACAGGACTCTATTAATTCTGATAAAGTAATTTTACATCTCTATTACATGGAAAATTTTCGTTAGGTTAAATTTATTCATATTTAATCAATGTGAGAAAATTTAACTACAAATAGTTTTTATATATTTTCATGTGTAATTGTTAGTATAATTAATTGGAATTTATCTTGTATTGTTTATTGAAATAGTTTTTCAATTAATTATGATAGACAGTCAGCTAAATGTTATGGTTTTGAGTAGTGACCTTTGAGGTCAGAATATCTGAGCTATTAAATTCATGATTGGTTCATTAGTACCAGTGGCCATGTTTGAAACAACTGTAGGGAAATTCAATAGAATTAATTTACAACTGACTATTAAATCCAGAGAGCTTCAAGTATCAAGTAAAGCCTGTCTCGAACAACTAGATAGATTTGTAGAAATTTACTGGATATAAATGTTTTGAAATACATATAAAATAATTTTATAAGAAGATATAATAATAATAATAATAATAATAATAATAATAATAATAATAATAATAATAATAATAATAATAATAATAATAATAATGAAATGTTTTAAAAATGTTTATTATTATTATTATTATTATTATTTATTTATTTATTTATTTTTTTTTTTTTTTTTTCTTAATTTGTTTTAGGCCGTTAGAGGATTTTATCCTACAGCCTCTTCAATAAATTTACATAAAATTATTATTATTTTTAATATTTATTTTTTCTAAAGACTGATTTTATAATACTTTATATTTTTAGTTTATTGGCTGTCCAGTCTAATACAACAATTTTTTTGTCTAATTTTTCGTAATATTGTCTGTCAGTATTTCCCACCAGGCATAAAAAAATTATCCTCAATCCATCTCAACCAAAAGATCCAGGTTCGAGTCCTGGTCTGGGCCGTCTGAATTATTTTTTCAGTGAAATTTATCTTTAATAACAAATTTAGAGACGAATTGAGGATAATTTGTTTGTGCCTGGAGGGAAATACAGGCTAACAATATTACGAAAAATTCGAGAAAAAAATTGTTGTGTTAGACTGGACAGCCAATAAACTAAAAAAATAAATTATTATTATTAATAATGGTGTAAAATTAAAAAAAAAAAATTATAATAATAAAATTATTTTAAATTATTCTAGAGCCAACCGGAGCCAGCAAAGCCAATTGCAATTCCTGAGGGTGAAGACGGATCTCTAGTCAAATTGTCATGCTATGATTCTGGTATCGACATACGTGAACCTAATCCTCCCCTTCCCGTAGTGCAACCCATCCCTTCAAAAAAAAAATATTCGGACGCGGACATAGTTTTATCTACAGATTGGGTGCCGCCAATAACGATCGCGCCTACCAACGTCTCATCCGGGAGCGCGTTGGACGTCCTGTCAGTGGTGAACGGCGGCGGGAGAAAGAAGGCCAGCTCTGTTTCCTTCAGCTTGGACAGCAACGCCGAGGAGCCGGAGAAAGACGAGGAGCACAAAGACGAGGACAAACAAGAGACTCGCAGAAATAAGGTACTTGCTTAATTATTTAATTTTTCTCTTTTTCAATAACAAGTGTCTTGACTTTCAACTTTTACAGATGCTCAAGAGGCTGTCGTATCCATTGTCCTGGATGGAGGGTCTCACCGGCGACAGCAAAGACGAAGAAAATAAAACCGTACCTGAAAAAGTACCAAGCCTCCCCAACAGCGCTGATAGTCACCACTCATCGGTATTCAGTAAAGTATTCTCAAGGTGAGTTACCCATTTGCTAATTACCCCAATTAATTATTTTAATCCTTAACTAACAACTCTGACAATGAGTATTGACGTTTATAATTAATAATTAACTTTTCGAAATTTTAATTAAAGTACTGCTAAAGTAAAGCAGAAGTTATTTGTACTTGGCATATTTAATAGATATTTTTGATGCATATGTTTCATGAGAGACTCAGAGAACTTCAATTGGTCGAGATTTGTCAAAATTAAAGCACTGGGTCACTCGTCTAAGCTTATGGATCAATTAATATTTTTTATAATTACTGTTTTAAATGTTTAAAAAATAAAAATTAAATCTCTAAAAACTACCTGAAGAATTTCTGTCAAAAATAATCTATCAACTTTTAAAGCAGAAGTTATAAAAAAGTTTTTGTTGCATAATAAATTTTTGAAATTTGCTTCGAGTTATTTAATTATTTGTTTAAATCTCGTTTGGTTTATCAAAGCTCCATATTTTTTTTTTTCTGAAAATAAAGCAGCAGCTTTGGCAATAAATTTTAATCGTTATTATTAATTAGATAAAGCTATAGAAGAATGTTGTTTATTAAAAGTAACTTACTGCTGATAGAAAATCAATAAATGTATTTAATTTAATTTAAACAAACTAAATACATTTATTACCAATGAATAGCTGAGCTTATCGCATTAATTAATACTAAATAATAATGATTTAGGTTTATTAAAGGACAATAGAGCGTAAGCTCATTGGGGCATATTAACTGGCGAGATTGATAAGCCGATCATGAGATTTATCAATTAATTAATCTTATTATAAAACTACAACTGTTTATATTAATAATAATATTATTGTTTATGATTAAGTATTTTGAATTGATTGCTCGCCGTTTAAAATGCATACTAACAATAAACTAACAATGATAAATATGTAATGGTGCCGGCGGATAATGTAAAGCTCGCCGATCAACCTGGTGAGTGACTTTAGCTCGGGGCTATTTGCTAAAACACCAAGCGAAGAGAGCGGCGGAGGCGGTAGGCCTGGAGGTACTCCTCCACTTACCGCCTCTTCACTCTCCCAGGAGTCTACCAATTCGCAATTTTCGCCAGGCCCCGCAAGTTTCATTGGGTGAGTCTGGTCCTGATTCATCAAGTCCACGACGTTATCCAATGACCTTAACGCTTATCTTTATTTTATTCGATTTAATTGTTGAACTCAATGTACTATTGTTTCATTTTATTTTTTTTTTTTATTTATTCGTAGTTCGGCTCCTGCTAGTCTGGCCATTTAATTTTTATTTTATAAAACAGACTAAATACAAACATATATAAAAAATAAAAATAAAATAAAACAATAATAATTCATAATACTAAACTGCTTTACTCGTAATTAAATTCCTGAATTATGTATGTTATTGTTGTCCTTGTCGATCACTGACCACTGGTCCTCTAGCTTTTAGGTCGGTTATCTCCAGCGTTATATCCTGATGTTCAAGATTCGCCTACAGCTTACAAGCAACAACAGAACACTAAAAAAAACAAAACATATAACAAAATAATTTATTATTATTACAATTTTTTTATTTAAGTCCATTAATAATAATAATAATAATAAATATTTAAAAATTTTTTTAATGTGATTATTATTATCTATATTATTAAGAAAATAAAAAAAATTTTGTCTCCAGGATAGTCATAAGATAAAATCGGTTTTTTTAGTGAAATTTAATGTCATTGCAAAGGTCTTGACTTGAATTTGTGTCTTTTCAAGGTTTCATATCATTCTCACCGATATTTAATGCATTATGACAAGTATTTAGGCTGCATTCGAAAATACTCTATCCTATAAACACATAATTAATAAATGACCTTGTATCTTGTAAACTATTAACATTTTTAAAGACATAAGCTCACCCCGATATTACACTCATCGATATCTTTCATTTGAGTACCCACATCAATTTTTCATATATTTACATATATTATATATATGTATATATGAAATATATATCAAAATGCATGTGGGTACTCAAATAAAAGCTCTTGATGAGTGTAACATCGGGATGAGCTTATATCTTTAAAAATATCAATAGTTAAAAAAGTACAGTGCAATTTAACAAAAGTTATTATTTAATGAAACAAAATTTTATTTATTTATAGTTCACGTCACGGCAGTCACATAGTGACTGCAAGGTTGCTAGTTATTATTATTATTATTATTATTATTATTATTATTATTATTATTTTAGGCCATTAATAATAATAATTAATATTTTTTAAAAAATTTCAATGTGATTATTATTATTATTATTGTTATTATTATTATTAATAAATAGCTGATGCATCTATTGAATGTAAATTTCCTGCTCAATGTTGTTGTTCTTACTGTTATTAAATTAATCTGCATACTATCTGTTTCTCTCTCTCTCTCTCTCTTTCTCAATCTGTAAATCTCTATATGTATACACACTCATTAGTTAAGCAATGTAAACTAAAGACTAAACTATTGTAATTACCTTACAGGCGTTCCTCGGTGGGTACCTTCATTCGGCAGCAGCCTTTGACCTCGTCAGGCAGCAGCAGCGTCGACAGCACCCGGGGAAATAAAACTTCAACGGCACCCCCTAGATTGGATTATCGCAGCATGGTTTCCGTCGACGATATGCCAGAACTATTTGTCAGCTTTGACAGTAAGCAATTCTACCAGCGAACATTATTACCTTACCTAATTTAATATTAAATATTATTTCATTATAATTAAACCAGCAAAGCTATTGCGGCAGTACTTATACTTTTAAACTCGCAAATAAGCTATCAATTTATAATTACAATAGTAGCAACTAATTTTAAATTAATACTTACAATTGCTGATTGTACATTTGACGCATCGCCTTGTTAATTGAAAATTAATTTACTAAACTTTGCTGGTATTTTATTAGAATTTAAACTCCTAGGTGGATTTCTTCCCTGATACTGTCGCAGTGGCTCCAGATCTTACATCGTTATCTATAAACATTTAAAAAGAATTTATTGAACAATAACAGTCATACTAATGCAGTAATATTCATCTATTTCTTTTTATCCTCTAGTCCAAGCACCTAATTATCCCGAACTTGAAGGTCTCGGTAGGTTCATACTGTATTAGCTTACTTTCTTCTTCTCTTCTTCTAAATCTCTTTCTTCTTCTTCTTCAACTGTCTCCTGTAATCTAAAATAAAAAGTTTGTCCAGTTTTAAATCCAATTAATTTATTAATTAAAATTAATTTTGGCTTAATAAAATAATTCTTTATTATAATTTTTTTTATTAAAACTTTGTAAATAATTTATAAAAAATAATCATCAAAATTGTAAAAAAAAAAATAAGCCATCAAATTTAAAGCATAAAGTTCTAAAAAAAAAATTATCTTTCATGCACTCTTGCTCATATCATTATCACGCTTTTTGTGCTTCCCTGAAGAAATAATTAAATTAAAGTTCACCTAAAGCTTTACATTTATTTTCTGTCGCGAACCCTGCAATCATTTCTCAGCTTTCTCATAAATATTAATATTAAATAATAAAAAATAAATTGCCCAAAAAATCTGTCAGCCTTAATAAATTTCTCCGTGCAGTCACAGCGAATCCTAAGCATGCGTCAAGTGTTGATACTACTAAGCTTTGTGAAAACTTTTGAATGGTGTGAAATTTACCTGTAATAACAATCTATTTTATTTAATTAAAGATAAAAAATAAAACAACTAATAAATAATTACCAAGTAACTAACCAATTACTTACTTTTACGTGTAAATACTGTATCTTAAGAATTAAGTTACTAATAAATAATTTTGTATGACAGAACTGATCCCAAGACCTGCGCGAAGCTGCGAGGACCCGCCATTGTACCTGAGATTACGAACTGGCAGGCCGAAGGACAAGAAGATACCCCGTTCCACCCCTATAATGAGCTACGGGAAGAAAAAACTCCGACCTGAGTACTGGTTCAGTGTGCCACGCAACAGGTGAAATTATATTTATTTCTCAAATGTATTACATATATTTATTATTACATTACTTTATTGTTTTTTTGCATATCTTATTGAGATAAATCAATTTATTTAATATATTACACAATATTGAATTTTCATTGATGTGACGGAAAATGATTGTTATCTTATTTGGATCTCTGCACAGAAAAAAAAATTAACTTGAATCAAGGAAATAATTTTGAAGAATTTCATCTTCTTGATTTGAGTAGAAAAATTTTTAAACTAAGAAATTTTTCTTGGTTTAAGGGGGAAGTCCATGTAAAATTTTCAAAAAATCAATTTTTTTTTCGATAATCTGATAATATAGTATGTTGAGCGTGTACTGACGAGAGGAAAAAATAAAATCTCGAATATTGACGAAGTTATAGCTAATATAATGGAGCGGACCGGAGTGCGTATTGCAGTGCGTACTATAACTTTAAACGTGATTATCTTGAAACTGTATTTTGTAAAACTGCTCGTGTTATAACTCAAAAAGTTATTGATCGACTTGTTTGAAATTTGGTGAGGCCTTTCTCTATATTACTATCGGAAGGATAAACCTAAAATTTCAGATATTTTGCGTTGATAAAATATTTTTTTGAGGTCAAAAATGTCAAAAAAATAGCCCCGAATTCTGACTTTTTTTTCAAAAGATTATTTTATATTGAATTTTATACTTTTATACTTTTTCTTTAATTTTAAAGGTTTATTCTTTCCGTTAATATGTTCTAAAAAGAAAACACTTTAATTTTATTATTTCAAATCAATAATTAATGAGTGATAAATAGAGCAGTTTGGGACCTCGTGTCAGAGGCAGTAAACAAAAAATTATCCTGAGCCGCTATTTTGAAAGGAAAAAAAATAAAAATTACTTTTGTACTCTAGAAAGATTTAATAAAGTTGTGTTAAAATTTAAAAACAATAAAATTATTTTATCACCTTTAAAAATATTTTTAAAAAATGACCGATTACGAGACTTTTACATGGACTTCCTCTCTTAAGTAAATTTTATTTAATTCAAGAATTTTTCGTCTTGATTCAAGTTAATTTTGTTTCAGTGTGTACCCGGTAAAATAACCGGAAAAAAAGAATGAAGGCATCTGGAGATAAATCTGTCTACGTAATTTTATTTTTTATCACCCGATTATTTATTGTAAAATAATCTATTGTCTTTTCAATATTTTTATTATTTAAATTACATAAGTTTTGTCTATTATACTGTAAATATTTAAAATTAATTTATTTTTTACAGAAACCTGTGCGAGAGTTTTTAAATTTAATTGCAATTATAATTGTAATCGTTATGGCAGATAACTGAGAGATAACGAGAATAATAAGTACATAAATGATAAAAAATTAAGAAGAATAGATAGAGATAATAATTAGCGACAAGATGGCTACTATATTTTGTGAGAATACGACGTCCAAATGGTGCTCGACATAAGCGTCCATTATCAAAATTACATCACATTGTTCTTACATTAAATTAAGATATATACTTCCCGATTTAACTTATACAATGTGGATGCGACCAAAAATAATAATTCATTAATTGATGCGTAGATTTTTCGTATTTATTTATTCAGTACCATCTGATTAATTAAAACCGTGCTTATCATATTGGAATCTTTTTAATAAAACAAACGATAAAGCTGTAATGTTTATAATCAGACAATCACCAACCAGTCAATAATATTTATATTTATATTTACATTTCTTCTCTAAATAAGTAAATATAATCTAAAATAATAATTATTAAAGTTCCAAGCAGTCATGTGATTAAACACATGCTTTTCCACGTGACTTACCTACAGTTGTGATAAAATAAATATCTACATTATAACATACATTGTATAATTGTGTAATAACATTTGTAATATACTGTAGAGTACGTAACGCCTACGTGAATTTATTGCGTAGCTGACATTTTGACAAAAGATTTTAATTTTCTTTTTTGTGAATTTACAATCCAATATTAACATTCTTCGAAAATTACCAATTATATTTAATTAAATATTATTATCCGTTATCTCACAGTTGATCTCATTGAAAACAACGTTACCTAATTATTTATTTTTATTTTAAAATTAAAAATTCTTTATCAGTAGCAACACAAGTGTATTTAAATATAATTATTATCGCATCGGAATTAATATTTTAAATTACCGAGATGGACAGGGTAACAACTGCTGTTAGTAAAGTGATTGATTTATTTAATTTACCTTATCTGGTAGGCCTGGGAAACCGAGCGCTACCATTTATAAGCCAGAGGTACAGATTTAGATTATCAATAGACCAAATAATTAATCATTAGTCATAAGTCATAATAATTATCATTAGTCATTTATTCTTTATAGAATTAATTGTTATCTTCTTTTACAGAGTCGACGACTTGTACCGATTCATTCACGTGTGGGTGCCAAGTTTGTACGGAGAACTAGATGAAAACTACTGGATCGAACGAGGATACATTCTCTTCGAAACCGACACAGATCTGTCCCCCGAAGTGTCGCCGCAGGAAGGCGAACCCGGTGAATCAGCCGAAGAAAATAAAGAGGCACGTGATGGTGATGAGATAACTGATCTGACTCGCGAGTCATGGGAGGTGAGTTGATAAATATTTGGCTCTCAGACAAAATTCTCCTGTCTGTTTAACGATAAGACTATCTAAGCAATTGATCAATTGATTAATATATTTATTGATAATTAATTAACCATAAATGAACTGAGTATGATTGGTATGTAATAACGTAGCTGATCAAGGCTCCGTACGTAAAGCTCTACAGTATACTGAAGACTTCAAGCACGTCTGCGGAAGAACAGCCCCAGGACCCAGAGGTATCCCAGTACTCTTAATCTCGAACGTCCTTGAGATAAATGTCACACTCAGACACTGAGCCCAGGATATGCACTTGTCGTTGTCCGTGCCTAGTCTTGTTCTGTTATTTCTTATTACTTTTTGTTTATTTACTTAAAAAAAAAAAAAAAAAGAAAACACAAAACAATCACACTGGCAACAACATTAAATACCTGTCGCTGACGTACATCGCGGACAATTGAATTTATCAAGCTTGTCTCAGTAAATAGAGCTTATACTTGAGGTAGTTTGGTCGTTTTAATGGTATTGCAATTAAAAGACATTTAAAAATTTTTTTTAATTTATTTATTTATTAAATAAAAAAATTTTTAAGTCTGATTTTTAAATTTAAATTTAAATATTTAGTAACAATAATTATTTATAAAATACTTAATTAGAATCCCGGAAAAAATGGACTTGGAAAAAATTTTAAAGTCATGAAAAATTCATATTATTTCGTATTATTTCAGATTTATTAAATTTTCATTATTATTATAATTTTTATTTTATAATAATTTTAATGAAATAATATGAATTTTTCATAATTTAAAAATTTTTTTCGAGTCTGTTTTTTCCGAGTCTATTTTTTCCAGTCTATTTTTTCCGATTACCACTTAATTAATAGGGCCAAAATTTTTCTTGCAATTTTAAAATATATAGATCATATTTTTGATATTACGGCAAAAATATTGGTCCTAGAAAAATTTTTTTTAAACAAAAGTTTTTCAAAATTTTATTTTATAAAAAAAATGTTTCTTATAATTTTTTCGGTGTAATTCCAAAATTAAGATTCATAAGAAAAGGTTCAAATTTTGTTTTGTGATAATTAAGAATCTTACTTTTGAAATTACAGTGAAATTATTGATCCTGAGAAAAAAATATAAGACATTTTTTTCATAAAATTAAATTTTCAACAACTTTTGTTTGAAAAAAAATTTTTTTAGGACCAATATTTTCGCCGTAATATCGAAAATTAAATCTATTTATTAAAAATAATTATTTTGAGTTTGTGGAAAAAAAATCTTGATAAATGATAAATTAAAATGTTTTTGACATTTGCTGCTACCAAACTACCTTAATAATTTCTATTAACACAACGGATGTCTAATCGTTAATTTGTCGACATTTGTGTCAATACAATCTGTTCCAACATACTCACCGCGAAACTTACTACATTATCAAAATTCCTACTATTTATCTACTTGACTCACTACTCCTGTCTTTCTTCTTTATAATCTTGATCGAAGAACTTGAACAGCTGGTAAACTTAAAACATGAATGTTAGTGATAAAGAACCAGCTTAAAATTGAGTCTTGGAACAGTTCCAGGGCATGAAATTCTCTTTATTATCTCTTAATTCAATTAGAGGCTATTTATTCTTATAATGAAGCAAAACTCGAGAAGTAAATAATATTAATCGATAAAAATAATCAGCCCTCGACTTCCGAGTGCGGAAGCTGTCACTTAGGCCAATAAACTGATAATTAATATTTAAATAAATTTTAGAGTAGTTAAATAATTAAATTTTATTATTTCTTAAATATTTATTTATTAATAATAAATCCAAGGCCGAGTTACTGTGCAGCTTGGAATTTGGCGCCCAGCCAATATTCTTCTTGAAGATAGACTGTATTTATATCCCGTGTAATGGACACATTTGGTTGACATTCATCTCGAGTATGAGTGTGCGTTGCAATTGTTAGTAAAAATCCAGTCTAGTCTAAATTTTTATTTAATTCAAATTGCAGAAGCATACAAATGTCTTCACGCAGTCCGATGTTATTAAGTTGATAAATTAATTGTGACTAATTCATACCAATATACAATACGCAATAGCGATATTAACATTTCAGTATTACCGTTAATTCAGCATTATATTGTGTAATATACTTCGAGTAAACTTTATGTCAAGTTTATTGATTACAACTACATAGGCTGCCCTCGCAATTACTAGTACTAATACTAATAACGACATTAACTCTAATACTTAGAGATACAAGTACGGCAATCAATACTATGACACTTTGATCATACTTGAAAGTCGAGTACGTGCACTCCAGCACGTCACTGTCTCATAAACATGTAAATTACACTTAGCTTTAATCAACATCGTCTCTATTTCATTGGGAAAAACTCGGAAAATTCAAATAATAAAACTACTATCTATCTTATTTCTTACATTTATTATAATTAAATAACATGCATAATTTATTTAAGGATTTATCCAAATAAATCGAGTATTAAGTGAAAATTTTTGCTTGTAATTTATATGCATGACGCGGTTTGCGCTATTTTTATTCACAATTCTATGGATATTTTCGTTAAACTTTTTTTTAAGTGGCTTCTACATTTTAAAGCGCTAAAAATTTTTTTAAATAATTCGCCGTTGATTAATTTTGCTATAAATACGCGTAACTTGCGTACTTAGAGATGTCCAATATGGCCGCCGCCGATTGTTCCCATATTTAGATCTCTTTTCGCTATTGCAAACAAACTGACAATAGTTTAACCATGATTTTTTGTCAGGACCTTTATTTTGGCCCTAAAAATCAAATACAATCTTAATTGAACTCTTTAATTGAGTTTTTTTGCGCTAATTTGTAATTACGAACGTACCTGAAGCTAACTTCAGGGATGTTTACAAACAAATTGCCTTTTTTTCATACAAATATGAATTTTGTTAATTGTTTTAATTAATTAATGCGATATTTCTTGTTATTTAATGAAAAAAATTCTAAATTTATCTTCTTAATTAGCCAAAAAGACACTTTGTATCAACATAACCTAATCCAAGCCTGAAATTTATATGCATAACACGGATTGCGCTATTTTTATTTACAATTCTAAGGATATTTTCGTTAAACTTTTTTTTAACTGGCTTCTACATTTTAAAGCGTTAAAAATTCTTTAAAATAATTCGCCGTTGATTAATTTTGCTATAAATATGCGTAACTTGCATACTTAGAGCTGTCCAATATGGCCGCCGCCGATTGTTCCCATATTTGGATCTTTTTTCACTATTGCTAACAAACCGGCTATAATTTAATGATGATTTTTTGTCAGGACCTTTATTTTGTCCCTAAAAATCAAATACAATCATACTTTAATTTGTTAATTGAGTTTTTTTGCGCGAATTTGTAATTACAAACATACATGAAGCTAACTTCAGGGATCTTTACAACCAAATCGACTTTTTTCATACGAATATTAATTTTATTAATTGCTTTAGTTAATTCATGCGATATTTCTTGTTATTTAATGAAAAAAAATTCTAAATTTGTCTTCTTAATTAGCCGAAAGGACACTTTGTATCAAGATAACCTAACCTAAGCCTGAAATTGCACAACATAATGCTGTTGTTGACAATTCCGACTTATAAATGTGAATTTTTCTCTAATTTGCATTTGCGTTTTTTATTAAATATCCCGAGGCACCGTGACCTCCGTATTGAAATGAATTTACTCTGTTATATTAATTTATCGCAATGCACTTGTGTACATTTAGCGTCGATTAATAGTGGCTCTTTGTCCAGCGTTTATTTATTATTCATTAATATAATGACTGATTTGAATAATAACATACAATAATTATTATTTATTATAAATTATAAATAAAATAAATAATTTTAAGATTATTGTATCTCAATGAAACTGCAATAAGTAAATAGAAAATATATTTCTTCTATTGATGGTGATCAAAATACAGCGTGTTGCGCGTTAAACGGTGCGTAGTCGTTGACGGTAAATTGTGTATGTAGCTAATCCACTAGCCGGGCAGTAATATAAAAACACAGAGTTTAATAACTAAAGCTCAGTGCGACTTTAGTCTCCAAGAAGTGAAGCTCGTTAATCAGTGACTATTAATAAACTCAATTTTTTATCGATTCATTTATATCATTAATAATAATAATAATAATCAGATATTAATTAACATACTTGAATAAATCTGATAATTATTTCCACTTGTGTTGAACTTGTCAAACTAATTTAATATTTATCCGGTTTGATAATAAATATTTTAAATCGCTCTTGCGAAACAGTTTATGTTTGGCATTTATATTTCTAAAGAATAATAAACTTTCTCTTAATAGTGACGTCTGTATTTATTTTTTTGGTAATTGTCGGTACCAAAAAGAGAAAGAAAAAAAATCATCTGCGTCATCAGAAATAGTTATTAATATTAATATATTAAAGAGAGGAAAGTTTTGTAAGATGACGCGAGAAGAACAAGAAGACCGGAGTAAATTCTCTAAAACTCTGGCGAAAATGCCGAAAGTTAAATTGCCGAACCCGATAAACAAGATATCTAAATTTTTGAAACAAAGATCGAAGGTAAATTTATTTTATTTAACAAAATTATTTTTGAATAATTTTTCATAACATTAAAGTCAAGTCACTTGATAATTTTTTTTATTTTATTTAACAAATAAATTTTTTCTGAAAAATTATTTTTTTAAAATTGCATTTGTGATTTTTAAAAATTTTTACATGACAATTTTTTTTCTCATTTTTTTTTTTACCACAATTTATTTGATAAAAAAATTATAAAAATTATTTAATATCTGTTGAATAAGTTTTTATTGATTTTTCTAGAAGCTTAGATAATTCAAATTTATGTTTGTAGATTTTTAATGTTAATGTATAACACAATAACACGATAATAATATCTTTGAGATAAAAATTAATGTTTGTTTTAGGTTAATATAAAAATAAAAAACAATTTTCGTTGTTTGTATGCTGGTGGATTGTTTTTTAGAGATAAACTCTCTAATGAATAGTAATAATAATGTGTGGGAGTTTTAAGATTTTTTATTCTGTATTTCGATCGCTATCTTCAAAACAACAGATTTTAAATTCAGTTATTTATACTTCAGGAATTTATATGCAAAAATAATTTTCTCATTCACTTTTTTTAATTGCGCGTCATAAAAAAAAATATTTTAAAAAAAGAAGAAAACTATTTTACAATAAAAATAATAAACTTTTACGATCTTTTTTTTTACCAAATGACATTTCAATTTTATTTATTTATTTTTTAGCTGAAAAAGTTTTAGTAAAAATAACAAATAATTTTAGACCTCGAGAAAATTCGACGGAAAGATTGCCAGGGATATTTTTTAACGCTAACAAGTCGAAGGTTACTTAATATTAAATTACTAAGCACTAGTTCTTGTTATTAGATTATTAAATTAGGTAATTTATTGGACATTATTCAATTTTGTCTATTTAACTATGTTGAGTGTTGATGATTTGTTAAGTAGGAAATGTATAATGGATTTTTTTTTGAGAATTATTGTAAATTATAATTTAAATTGATAATGCTCAAAAAGTGATTATATAATCAATGCGAATTGTAATCGATTGAAAATCCAGGCGTTATCTCATCTTAATACAAGATAATGGTATGTTTTCTGAAAATACGGTAAATGCCAATGTGCTCAACGACCGATTGCATCATTAAGATGATGAAATTTTTTGTTCACGCCTGTTGAATAAAAAAATATTGGAGAGTTAAATTTAATATTAAAATTCAGGATTATTTAATTGTTTTTGGTAAAGCAAAAAATTTAGTGTAAATATTTTTTTTTATTTATTTTGTCTGAGAAGGAACTCAATAAATTATTAACAAGTTGATTTTTATAAAAAATTTTTAACATTTATGAGATTTATTTTTAATTTATTATTTACTCTGCAATTATTAATGACAAATTTACTTTATTTATTTATTTAAAAAAAATATATTTTTATATTTTCTCTTAGATAATTATTGTTAAACAATTTTTTGTTTGCTTTTTAATTTAGAAATATTAAAAAAATATTTATTCAAGTTTGTTATTCTTAAAAATATTTTTTAAAAATATTTACACTATAAATTCTTTGTATATTTTTATTATTCTCGCTATTATTATATTTTTGAATTTGAAATAAACTAAAATAAAATTTTTCTTTATAAAAAAATGAAAGTATAAAATCTATAAAATAAAAATCAAGCGACAGGATAAAAGGATAAAAGGATAATTATCGAGCATAAATACCATAAAAAATGATCTAGATTACGGAAGTTCAATAGCTGGATGGCGCCGTCTCGTGCGCGAGGTCAACCTCCGTTTTCGAGGCACTCCGGATATCAAGGGAGTGCACGGGTATTTTCTTTCACCATAGACTGCGGTTTAAAAACTTCCAGTGGGGAAGAAATGGCTTGAAAGGCGAGTAAATCTCGTTGCTCTTATTTGTAACCCTGAAGTTCAAATAATAACGCGGGATAAAGTCACGTTCGCTTCAGTACGCTCCGAGACTTGACGCTGCAAACAACATTTTCAATTAAAAGAATATTAAAAGTGAAATTTCCCATTTCAAAATTTCATAAATTAACAATACTGCCAAAAATGACTGCCGACGCATTCTCAGTCCTGAATTACGTGTTTCAACACTCATCGCGCATGCTATCGGTAAGAAAACAATTATTTAACAACATAACCCGAGATAAAAGGTCAGAAATATCAAATTCTTGTAATTACAATCTCTTATTATTTCGCGATCAAAGGTTATATAGACTTCTAATAATTATCGACTTATCGACTAAAACAAAGTTGTAATCTTCAGACATTCAAATGAACTTGATGGTCTTTAATTTAAAAATGTGGGTCAGCAATATTATCAAATTTAATGTAAAACATATTTATTTATTTCTTCTTCCGAATGAAAACTTAAGAAGAAACCTTGAAAAAGAAGCTAACGTCACATGTGTGCTGATTATCCTCTCAGCTCATTTATCTCGGTAATTAACGTCTGAGTACGGTCCCGAGAATTTGTAATTCAAATGATAAGACCGTCGATACCCAGGAACACGTGAGATCGAGCCGGCTTTATTTTGTACGACGGATCTAGTCCATTAAATGAAGATAATATTGCTTCTTACTCTTAAGACTATTATGCTAATTTTACGTGAGCTTATTATTCATTGTTGTTGCCATTATCTACGAACTTTAGTTTGTACTTTGTTGTAAAAAATTTTTTTTATTTTTATAATAGACGAATTTATAATCGCAGTGATTAATTTTAGGTAATTATTTTATGTAAATTTTAGATTTGTTAATTTTTTATTAGAATAATCATTATTTTATCATTTTTTAAAAAAAAAAAATCTTAGAAACAAAGCAGAAACTTTATTAGTGGAGAAATTATGCGCGCGCATTTACTTTTTAGTCATTTTTTTAGATTAAAACACTTTGTTTTGACTGAAGAAAAGAATTATTCATATAAATTGGATTTTACGGTGAATTTTTCATACTAATAATAATTATTTTATCATTTTTTTAAAGAAGAAATCTTAGAAACAAAGCAGAAACTTTATTACTGGAGAAATTCTGCGCGCGCAACTACTTTTTAGTCATTTTTTTAGGTTAAAATACTCTGTTTTGCCTGAAGAAAAGAATTATTCATAAAAATTGTATTTTACGGTGAATTTTTCATAATAATAATTATTTTATCATTTTTTTAAAGAAAAAATTTTAGAAACAAAGCAGAAACTTTATTACTGGAGAAATTCTGCGCGTGCAACTACTTGTTATTGATTTTTTTTTAATTAAAACACTTTGTTTTGTCTAAAGAAGAAAACAAAATGACAAATAATTATTTTAATCAATTAAAAATTACTATTACGTACAAAAATGATAACTAAATCATTTTTATTTGCATCATAAAAATCTTCAAGTTGTTTTAAATAATTGAACGTGACTATTAGCGTAAAAATATTTGTTTTATCTTGTACTCTTCAGTACTTTTAAAATAAATTTTATCAAATACTTTTATCTCAAGCCAAAGATCAAATTTATTTGTATTTTATTGATAATAATAAGAAAATAATGTTTGTAATTTCTATATTTAGACTTTATATCATTATTTAATCTCACAAACAAAAAAGTGAGTAATAAAAATACAAAGATTAATATACTTTTATACCAAAGCGCAAAATTGTAACTTTGATAAATTTTAATAGTTTCTTACGAGTAATTAGCGTAAGTTATTCCTAATTTATAGTCCGAATGAATTTGGTTTTATTGCGTAAAAATAATGTTTATAAACGTAAACAATTTAAAATTAATAACAAGCAAAAAAAAAAAAATAAAATCAAGTTATTGTGATAAAAAATTGGTGATTAAGTCTCGAATAATTAAAAACTGAATAAAATTTCAATAATTTTATCTCAACAACTAATTTAAAAATTATGAAACTTAACTTGATTTATTGCAAAAAAAATTATTTTAATTAATTGCTGAAATAAAATACAAAGATCAATAAAATTAGTAAATTGAAAGGATGTAAACATAAACTTGAGTCAAGGCAATAATTGATAACCCAAGGTGACGGTCATGCCCTTGATAATTATAAAATAACAACCCTATACTCGACTTTATTATTAAAAAAAAAAAAAAAAAAGAAACTATAGAATTAAGATACAATACAAGTTTCCGAGTTAAAAATAAAATACCTATATATTTATAGTTATATATAATCGGAATCTCTTTAAGGGAATTGTAAATATGGTAGTGAGCGAGAACGAGGTCATACAATCGCAAAGTTGCCTTGTAGGCGTCGATGACCTCAAACAAACGAAATTAATTGTTTCCGACAAAAGTACATTAAAGAGTGGATATTTAAAAGACATTTCATTTAATTATCTTCTCTTGAATTACTCATATTGATGCATATGTTCTGACAGTAACAATTGTTAGCGTTAAACTTTAAGTATGTAAAGTGTCTTAGCTATTTGCTTAATCAACAGCAACTTACATTCAACTCACACTATTTAATAAAATTATTTACTTATATGATATCACTTCTTTGTAATTTCGATTTGCGAAGAGATGCATCACCTATTAATAAAACTGCTACCAATATGAAAAACAAGGAAACAATAATATAATTTATCGGTATTTATATTTGCTTAGTCTACACGTCAACTTTTAATAAATTTATTGTTTATAATTTAAAATACATAATAATTACAAATGTTATCCAATGCGCAAACAAACTCTTTAACCTGTAATTATAATTCATGAAGACAAGTGGTGGCGCTTGTTGACGGAAAATTGAGGATATGATTAGTTTGTTTAATTTACTTGTTTTTTATTATTAGTTTTTTTTATTGATTTTCGTGAGCTAAAGGTATGAATTAGTTGCAACAGTAATTATTATTAATTCTTTACTTTTAAATCGCGCACTCTCATCAACGGCTATTCACCCGACAGTCTTTCAAGGCTGAAACAGTTATGAGTTTACCGTCCTCAATACACTAAATAAAACAATCAACAATACCAACAACAATTCATTGTTTTAATATGTAATATTTACATACATTTTAGTCTAGTTGCAAAACCGGATGTTTTTAAAATTATTTTTTATATGAAAATAAATAATATGTAATTTTACATAATCTAAAAATAATTTATGTAATTGTACTGAAATCAGCTGATATTTTAAAATTCGTAATTTTAATTTTTTTTTATTAATTTTATTTGTAAGATTTTATTATAATTTAAGTACACGGAAAGAACAAGATGACACTGAATATCATCTCACATTATAATGAGTGAAAAATTTTTTTTAGATAGTAGCTAGTATAATCCAGATTACAATGAGTATAATCCAAAAATCACGCAGTATAATCTGGATTTTTTTAGCTACAATCTGAATTTTTTTTTCATCAGATATCACTGAGTATAATCTGGGATGATATCTAGTGTCATCTCGTTCTTCCCGTGTATATGAAAAAATAATTATCTTCCGGTTTTGTCACTAGACTGCAAAATATTTAATAAAACTGAAGTTAACTGACAACTGATAAGTTTTTATAACAAATCAATTACAATAAAAAAAAAATACTTTAAAAAATTTTCCCTAGTAATTTATGAAAATAACGTTAGCCGACATTAAAAAATTTTTTAAAATTTTTTTATTGAAAAAATTTCAATTAAACAATTAAAAAAAAAAAATTCCACATGTAAAAAACTTGAAAAATTACAAGTGCAATTTTTTATAAATCTTTTTTTAGTTGTAATTTAATTTAAAAAAAAAATCAAAAATTTTTAGACGTCTGCTAACTTCAGTGTCATAGTAATTTTCACAATTAAAATTTTTTTCATAATAATTTAATTACTATAAAATAATTAAAAAATTGCTAGTGTCAGTTAATTCAGTGTCTTAACTTTGACAGATTTTTTTGAGTAAATTATTACAAAAAATTATTTAAATTAAAAAAAAAAATTAATTTTTATTAAAAAACAAAAAAAAATGTCAAGTGTCAGCTGACTTCAGTATTATAAAAATATCTCTAAAACATAAAACTTATAAACATACAATTATTTTATTTATATATTTTCCAGCACTGTTCGTAGACTTGCACTTAAAAAACTTGATTTTAAAAAAAAAAAAAAAAAAAAACTTACCTAGCTGTAAATATATACATGTAAACACTTGATATGACTGTAGTAGTGTTGTACATTGTATTAGATCTAGGATAGAAATAGAATTAACTGTCTAGATAATGATTAGTATCCCTGAATGATTCCAAGGCCTCTTCCATCTGTTGTTTACTCGTAGTCGTAGGTCAGGAGTAAAGCGAGTCCTGGATAATTAATATTTTATTCTTATTAAACAACAATGACAGATTGTTTAAAAAATAAATTCATAAGTCTCGTTTTACACCTAACCTTGGCTCTTAGATTACCAAGCGCTAATGAAGATATTGGTTACCCATCTACTATTTATTATTTATCATTTATTAAGTACTAACAGGAGATGTTATTCCAGGTTTTGTCTATGAGCGATGAGCTGAGAAGAGCTTTGTACGCCAACAGTGCCATATCTCTGGATGTAGACGTCATTGTTCCCGACTTGGTTGGAACTACGGAAATTCTCAGCGACGAACACAGAGAACATCTCTGTCGTCACCTGCCAGCGCGCGCTGAAGGTTATCTTTGGACACTGGTGTTCAGTACGAGTCAGCACGGGTTCAGTTTGAATAGTATGTACAGAAAAATGGCAAAAGTTGAGAGCCCTATTCTGCTAGTCATTGAAGATACTGAGGGAAATGTAAGTTTAATTAATTTGTTTGTAATAATAATCAATGGAAATTAAATTAGCCGACATTTGAAAATTTTTATAATTTTTTATTGAAAAAAATTAATTAAAAATAATTGACATTATTAAATTATTAAAAATTATTAAACATTTGCTAAATTAATTTTAATGATGATAATTAGTTAGTTTTAAATTGTTGATAATAATTTCTTACTTTTTGCAGGTATTTGGAGCCCTCACGTCATGTTCATTGCATGTCAGTGACCATTTCTACGGAACTGGAGAATCTTTGCTGTTCAGGTTCACTCCAAGGTTCCAGGCATTTAATTGGACTGGTGATAATCTTTATTTCATTAAAGGAAATAATGAAAGTTTGGCAATTGGTGCTGGAGAGTAAGTTTATTATTTTTTATTTTATTTAACAAACAAATTTGTTTAAAAAAATTATTTTAAAAAAATTACATTTTTGATTTTTTTTTTTTTGCCATAATTAATTAAAAAAAAAAAAATTATCAAATATCTGCTAAATTAATTTTCATTAATTTTTATAAAAAAATTCATGAAATTAGCTCTTGATAATTTTTTAATTTTATTTAATAAAAATGATCAAGTGTCTCAATTTGATTATAAAATATTTTGTAAAATTAATTGATGATTTTTTAGTGATGCAAAATTAATTGAAAATTTAATGTTTTTTTTTCAGTGGTAAATTTGGTCTGTGGTTAGACGGTGATTTATACCAAGGCAGAACCCAGTCCTGCAGTACCTACGGAAACGAACCACTGGCTCCTCACGAAGACTTTGTCGTGAAAACACTGGAATGCTGGGCATTCATATAGGATCCAATAATCGGCTCGGTGTCAACATTCTTGCCACAGCCGAACTTAACTTGAGCTCGTGATTTCTGGAGGACTTATAATCAAGCCAACAATCCCAGTGTCAGGAGAGATCAGACTAATTTTTTCGTATAAGCCGGTCTCCACTCTGGAGAACATCACTCTGAATCCACTCGCTGGAGATGGTAAACAATTAATTATCACACACTGGAATACCGTAGCGTTGATGCTTTGACGTGATACGGATAGTTTCAAGGCAGCTAGAGATTTGTTAACTACACGAAAAATAGCGATCAGATATAGTTTTAAAGATCTAACAGTTTTATTATTAAATTATATTTTATTAAATACTACTGCAAATAACTTTTAACTAAGAGAGTATTGCGAAGGATCAAGGAGAGAGAAAATACAATGACAGTTTCATTTTATTCGATAAGCCGGCCGTTTAATTGTAATCTACTTTACTTTTAATTTTTTTAATTCATTCATTGAATGTTACTATTTATTAATTATTATTATTATTACTTATATTATAAATATTATTACTTTAATTGTTTAAGTCAATGAATTAATTTTAAATGAATTTTTTTTCGTGTGAAAAAATCAATACCGGTTTTAATTTTTGTGAATTGTAAAATAGGCCAATGAGATTACCGCGATGATTGGTTAATGTAAAGATAATGATAACAATAATTAAATAATTAATCAACGTGTGAGCGATCCAGTGGATTTGGACGCTATTAGCAGATATCTAGTGGCATTTAACGATGCTTATACCTCATAATTATTCTATTAAGATGCCACTGATGCTAAAATATACGTTTGTTGTGTAGATAATGTAGATAGCTGTACATATAATATAATTATACATATAAATATACTTATACATATAATAATAATAATAATAAATATAAATATAAATATATAAATAAAATAAAAAAAAATCATACTAATGATGCTGAAATAAAATTGCAGAGTAATTTAATCACGTATGATTTAAAATAATTATTATAAATACTTATAAATATACCTATTATGTAAACAGATAATAAATATGAACATAATAAAATTTCGACAGGTTATGGGCTTGTCTGTTAGGATCTGAATTAGCCGTAGATATTTCCTGTATGAATTGTACTGATTAATCAAAGAAAATAATTGTCATCATTATAAATTGTCACCTCAAAATTAATCTATCAATCTATTAAAAAAATAATTAACACGGTAATTTGTCAAAAAAAAAAAATGTATTTCGACGGCGCATTGAATACACCAATCACACAACGAACATTTGTCGGTGCCTCAGTAATTAAATAAATATTTTTCGAGGCATTTGAATAGTCATTCATCATTTTTATTAATTTATAATAATTTTAAAATTAAATTGAGTCCATTGTCATTAACTACACTTGCTTCATGTTCATTATAAATAATTGTAATGGTTATAATTATTTTTAAAAATAAAATAATAATAATATCATGTCACTTGTTCGGCTAATAAGACTTGTAATATTTATATTTAAACTTTAAAATAGTCTGCGAAAATAATCTAGTATCTAGATACGATTGTAATGTAGTTTTATTTGTTAATATATTACAATTACTACAATTTAAATTAACAATTACTGTTTATTAAATTAACTATTTAGTGTGCATATCATTTAATTCCGTTTAGTGAATGAATTTTTTTAAAAAAATAAATATATCATTGTTTTTTGGTTAAGTTTAGTTACAGAGTTCGAAAGAAGAAATAAGGTTAGATTGTTTTGGGACTAAACATATCGATCGATGTATCTAGATACTGACGTTTCATTGTAACTGATCGAATTAATATCAAACAAGACAAATACAATTAATAATAAAAATAATATTAATTAATAAATAATATATATTAATAATAAAAATATGTACTAACTGTTTTTTCGTAGCTATCAGCTTCACTAGCTTAGGTTTTGATGAATATACCTTAACAAGAGTTGCAAATTACGGTTGTCTAGATTACTGATAAATAAAATAAAAAATATATAGTATGTAGGCTCTTGTGATACTATTTAATTACTCTCGGTTTTAATTAAAAAAAAAAAATTTGATTTTCTTCGAAGAAATAATTTTGAGAGAAGCTTTTACGCTAATGTACCTATGAAACATCATTTGATAGATGAAAATTATTAAAACAATATTATTTATTAAAGTATAATAATTAATTATAATAATGACATAATAATAAAATTTGCAAGCCTACCAGCATTGTAATGAACACAAATGTGCTACTGCCTCTACACTTGTAGACGTAGATTGTTATTTAAATGAAAATGCATTAAATAAAAATAATCCGGTGTTATTATTAGCGATAGGTTCTGGTTGGAATAATTAATGCAGTTACGTTGGTAATGTTATACTTGCGACTCAGGAAGAAATGCTGCAATTATAATTATTAACAAACTAACTAATAACAATAATCTGTAATTATGATGTAGACAGTAACGATTGGTAGTTACTTGTTGAAAAAAGTTATTAATCGGCAGTTAATCCCGCGAAAGCACCAGCAACTGCTTTAAAATAATCTTCGCTGAAGATATCGTGAAGATTTTCGTACATTGTCAATTAGATTCAGACTGATAGCTGGGATTTAACATACACTTTACTGTATGTTTGTCTAGTTTATATTATTACAAGCTAGACGTGTCGTATATTATAAATTATAATTATAATTATATATACATATTATAAAAAGAAGAAAAAAATAATGTTTTGTTGTCGTAATCGTTTACAAAATGAATTTAAAAAATTAGGATTTAAAAAGCTTTTAGATAATCTGGTCTACCTGAGCTTTATTAAATGAAAGAATTTTAAATGGATATTTAATTAAAATTGTTTGTAGGTTTGAAAAAACAATACGGTGTCATGATTAGTCTGCTGATAGATTAACCTATAAATTTATTTAAATAATTTTTATATCTTATTAAAATTTTTTTTTTAATTATTAAAGAAGAAATAATTTTTAAAATTTCTGTAAATTTAATTTAATAATTTTTTTATTTTATTTAAATTTAATATTTAAAATATTAAAGAAGAAATATTTTTAAAAATTTCTATAAACTGTTTCTTCAATAAATTTTTTGTTTTTTTAAATTAATTGGTTATCAAGGCAGCTATTTTGTCGGCACCAATAATACTAGCTTAATCGAGTCTTCCCGGGTGAACATATAATTTTGTTTATTAATTAAAATCCGATCGTAATAATTGCTAATAAACTAATAAAAATAAAATAATAATAATAATAAAACATAATGAATAATAAGTCGATCGGTGATGTAATGTGACACCCGTTCTTATCATACTTATTATTTCTTGTAACTTGAAGCCAGAAAATATAGAAACAAGGTCAGCAAACGTGAGTTAAAAAAAAATACTTAAAATAAATCTCTGGACCAATAAATTTTACACTTCTATAAATAAATAATACGTTCTTCTTATTAAAAGTAACAATGATAATTTTGAATTAATATCTGGACTCGAATGCACTGATTTGATAGATTTCTATCTAGTCTCTTCTAAGAACTTATATTTAATTAAATTGAATAAATAAAATGATGATAATAAATAACTAATAAATTATAATCAGCATGAGCGGACGATCGGCTATTGAGATAAATTTTTATTAATATAAAATCTAACAAAAGCAAGTGATGTTGTGATGATTCAAGGCGTCTAAAATCCATTTGTGGTACTTATATATTTTAAAAAACTAAGTGATGACAAAAAAAAAATTCTAATAGCTTACAGCTATTGTATGATCAGTCAATATATTTAGAAGAGTTTATTGAAAAAAATAATTCTGTACTGAAGAATAGTTAAAAGTAAAAACATAATGTCTTTTATTGAGCATTTAAATAAAAATAAATGCTCTTTGTTGTGTGAACGTTGTTTGATCAGTATGCTCTACTCCTTTTACCAGACTTTTCAAAATAACCGGTACATTTTCTTGAAGAAAATGTGTCTACACTAATTGTGTATTTATGTAGACCAGTGTATGTAAATATACTAATATATTGCTCGGCCTTGCACACTTGCGGGCAATACACACTCACATATACAAACACGCGTATATAAATATATAAATAAATATATATATTTAAAAAAAAATGAAAATGAATAAATACAAATATATATATTGAAAATAAAATGCCAACCATGTGTTGTAAAGATATTAACTTCTTGTTTATTTTTATTTATCAACCCGTAATTGTAATTGTAATTTTCATCAATTTAAAACCGAAGATCGGAAGCATAATTAGTGGCAAGAAGTTATTTACAGACGGCTGTAATGTGACTCATGAACTATCATATCACCAGTTACTTCATCTACTGATCGGCAGCCTGTATAAATATTTATCTATGTTAGCACAATTGTTTATTGCTGTAAATTGTATGTACTTTTGATGACTTACCTGCTAGAGCTAGCGTCTGCTTAATTTCTTGTTCCATCAATTTCAGGATTGCTATGGCTCCTTCTACTCCTCCGTGGGTTAAGCCCCATAATATTGGTCTTCCGATAAACACCTGAAAATAATTATATCAATTATAACTTGAGAAGTAGTATATTAAAATTATATTTTAATAATTTGCTTTGTTTGGTTTCTTAACCTCAAATTAAACAATGAAATATTTATTCTTAGAACTTTAAAATTATTTTAATATTTTAAACTTATTTATAATTCTTGAAATATTTTTTACTTAATATTATTATTCATATATTATGAAAATTCTAAATTAATTACAGTATAATATCCTATTGAACAATTTGTTTAAAATATGACTTTCTAACCTCAAACTGAACAATGTAATTTTGGTTCTAAGAACTTTAAAAATTATTTTAAACTCATTTATAGTTCTTGAAATATTTTTTACTTAGTATTATAATTAATATCTTATTAAAATTCTAAATTAATTGTAAAATATATTGTCCTATTGAATAATTTTTTTAAATTTGACTTTCTAGCCTAAAATTGAACAATACAATATTTCTTCTTAGAACTTCAAAATTATATCAAGCTTATTTATAATTCTTAAAATATAATTGATTTAAAATTATTATTAATACCTCATCAAAATTCTAAATTAATTTATTTAACTTAATTTCCTGATCTCAAACTGAACAATGCAATGTTTGTTCTAAGAACATAATTTTTTTTAAATCAAACTTATTTATACTTCTCAAGATATTATCTATTTAAAATAAAATTAAATCACAATTAATTTTTTATCAGCATTTTAAATTAACGATAGTGTGTCCTATTTAAAGTTTTAATTTCTCGTTTGTTCAGTTTGAATGAATTATCAATAAAAAGAAAAATAGTAATTATATTCCATGAATAAAGATATACAATTTACCATTTTAGCACCCAAAGCTAAGGCTTTGAATACATCAGTCCCTTGTCTAATCCCGCTATCTAAATAAACGTCTATCTTATCACCAACTGCTTTAACTATTTCAGGTAGTGCCTCTATCTGAAATCAATTTAAATATCAAATCATTAATCATAATCCAATCACAGTTTAATTATAATTCACAATCGGTAATAATTTATTATTTCCAAACCGACGCAGGGACGGTATCAAGTTGCCGAGCTCCATGATTAGAGACTATGATCCCTTGGACTCTTTTTTTGACAGCTGCAAGAGCGTCATCGGCTCTTAAAATTCCTTTCAAAATAATCGGCAGGTTAGTGATACTAAAATAAAATATTTAATTATTTCTTCTAATCATATCTTGATACTAAATCATCATCAATATTAAATATTAGATATTAGACATGCTGATCGATAAAATTGATACGTACCTTTGGAGCCAGTCGATATCGTCCCAAGACAGTGAGCGGTCGAACTGATCGACGGCATACTCATTCAACCCGGAGCCAGAGTCCGCAGAGTTGATTTTTGAAGACAAGTGACCGTCGAAATTCGCCAGTTTCAAGTGTCTCGGCAAAGAGAATTTGTTTTTAACGTCTCGGCGTCTTACTCCGAAAAATGGGGTATCAATAGTGAGAACAATAGCCTTGTAACCTGCTCTTTCCACGCGTCTAATTAGATTAATGGTCACTTGGCGATTGCTGAATACGTACAGTTGAAACCATTTTATCGCGTTAGGTGCTGCTTTTGATATTTCTTCAATGCTATTTGTTGATATTGTTGACTGGATATATATTGTTTTCATGTGCTCGGCAGCTGAAATATATTTTATGATATTAAAGTTGACAATTTTTTAATTTTTTTTTAACAAAAAAATCTCCAAAAAATTATTTTTAAAAAATTGCATTTTTTACTTTTTAAAATTTCTACATGCTAATTTTTTTTTTTTGTTATAAAATTCTTAAAATTATTAATGACATTAAAGTTAGCAGTTACTTGATTATTTTTTAGTTTTTTTTAACAAATAAATTTGTTCCAAAAAATAATTCTTGAAAAATTGCATTTTTAATTTTTTTAAATTTCTACGTGTCAATTTTTTTTTTTTATCATTTTTTTTGCCATAATTTATTAGTTGAAAAAAATTTTTTTAATTATCAAATATCTGCTAAATTAATTTTCATAAGTATTAAAAATTTTTTTAGATTATGAAGAAATTGGAAGATTGACTAATTGAAGGTTAGAAAATTTATGATACTGAAGTAATCTGACAGCTGTCAATTTTTTTATAAAAAAATCAATTAGAACAAAAAGTTACTTTAAAAAATTTTCACGTGTAATTTTTTTAACTATAATTTAATTGTTATAAAATTATAAAAATATTTCTGTCAGTTAACTTCGGTGTCTTGAAAATTTATATTGACAAAAGTTAAAATTTTAATTTTAAGGTTAGAAATTGAATAAAAATTTTTTAGTATAATTCTGATATTAATTTTTTTTTAATTTATGAAAATTAAATATAATAAAAATTTAGAATTATTAAAGTTATTAATTCAAAATATGAGTTATAAAAAATAAAGAAGAAATCTTAAATTAAATTGAAAATTTTAACCTTGAAATTTAAAATTTAGTTATTCAAAAAGAATAAAGAAAAATTTTTTTATTTTATTGAAATTATAAAATAAAAAAAAAAATAACTTAAATAAAAATAATCGAGATTGTAATAAATCGATTTCTCGCTAGAGATTAATACTCCTTCTCCAGTCTCCAGTCAGTATTTTCGATACTAAAACAGTCGACCGCTCCAACCAATTACATATCGAGAGTTCACAGTGAGAGTTTACGAGATAAACACAGCACACAACACGAACACGAGTGAGCTGTGAGGCAGTGAGGAGCCAGTTTATAAAACTATCCTGGAATGTCTAATTAACTAAATTTTCCTAGTATAGTATAGTTTAATATCAGTAACAATCTAACATCTAAAATCCTCATCCAGGGCATACAAATGACGGTAATAAAATAATAATATTTATTAAATACTTAACAACATTAAAAAATTACTAACAATTATTTATTTATTTATTTATTCAGGTGTAAATAATATTTAATCAATCAAAGTCATGACAAACTAGATATAATGAAGCGCAATGTGATTAGCTTAATCAAATTTTTGTTTGTTGCGACGTTTGCGGTCTTACTGACAATCGTCGTGTTCCGTTACGTGCGTGGTCCACGTCTTTCGATAGCTGGCTCCCCGCATTCTCTCAATATTTTTGAGGGAGATAAAAACTATCCAAATGTAAGTACACTATTTATCTTTTTATTACACCTGTTATACATACATACTCATACATTTATTTATTTATGTGACACTGACAGCAGCTGATATTTGACAGGTTCTGGTTTTTTTTTTTTTAAGTTATTAAATAATTATACAGAAATTTATTAAATTTTTTTTTTTAATAATTATATTAAAAAAATTTCTTATTTTTTACACTCAATTAAAGTTCAAAATAATTTTATGAAATAAAATAAAGTGACATATTATTAAATTAAATTATTATAAAAAAAAGTGCAAATTTTTATCATTATTTTTTTTTTTTTATAATTTTTGGAAGAAAAAATATTAATGAAGATAAATTAGAAGAAAAAAAATTGTCATATTAGATAATTATCTTAAAAAAAATTTTACAATCAATTTACATTAAAAAAAAAAAAAGAAAAAAAGTTGTTTCTTAAAAAGTCTGAATTTTAATATACTAATTAATGATAAAATATTCAAAGGTCCAGTATAATATAAGAATGATCCGCACACAAATATAAATCTATGATAAGTCGATATGTACGTGTATAAAAATATTTATTCAAGTTATGTGGCTGGTCTAACTATTATGATTATATATTTTCAGGGTCAACTGGAAGAGAAAATTGATTGGCATGACTACAAAAAAATGAAAGAAGACTCCTCGAGAGTGGGGATCGGCGAGCAGGGAAAGCCAGCAACGTTATCACCATCAAAGCGACTAACAGAAGATAAATTATACAAAGTAAACGGGTTCAATGCCGCGCTGAGCGACGAAATTTCTTTGAACCGCTCAGTCCCGGACATACGTCACCCGGACTGCAAGAAAAAGACCTATTTGAAGAATCTCAACTCTGTCTCTGTGATAGTATCGTTCCACAATGAGCACTTTACCACTTTGCTGCGCACCTGCTGGAGCGTGATCAACCGCTCGCCCCCCAAGCTCCTCGAGGAGATAATCCTGGTGGACGATGCAAGTACAAAGGTCGAGCTGAAGGACAAGCTCGACCGCTACCTGGCCAGCAACCTTCCAAAGGTCTCGGTAATAAGACTTACCCAGAGGTCGGGCCTCATCCGAGGCAGACTCGCCGGTGCCAAAAAAGCTAAAGCTAAAATTCTAGTATTCCTAGACTCCCACACAGAGGCTAACGTCAACTGGCTCCCACCGTTGATCGAACCCATCACCAAGGACTACAAGACTTGTGTGTGTCCCTTTATAGATGTCATTGCCTTCGACACCTTCGAGTACCGAGCTCAGGATGAGGGAGCTCGCGGGGCTTTTGACTGGGAGTTGTACTACAAGAGGTTGCCGCTGCTTCCGGCAGACCTCGCGAATCCTTCCGAGCCATTCAAGAATCCGGTGATGGCTGGAGGTCTCTTTGCCATCAGTGCTAAATTTTTTTGGGAGCTCGGAGGCTATGATCCTGGTCTTGATATCTGGGGAGGAGAACAGTATGAGTTGTCTTTTAAAATTTGGCAGTGTGGAGGTCAGATGTTTGATGCTCCTTGCTCAAGAGTCGCTCATATTTATAGAAAATTTGCGCCTTTTCCTAATCCAGGGAAAGGTGACTTTTTGGGGAGAAATTACAAGAGAGTTGCTCAGGTAGATTTTTTTTTAATCATATTTTTGAAAATTTTTAAATAAAAAATTTTTTTTTTTTTAGAATTTGCAGTTATAATTTTTAACTATACAATTTTTTCTTAATATTTAATTGTTAGAAAAATTCAAAAAATTATTAAATTATAATTCAGTACTAGCAACCTTGCAGTCACTATGTGACTTCCGTGACTTGTGGACTATAAATAAAATTTTGCTTTATCAAATAATGACTTTTCTTAAATTCCACTGTACTTTCTTAACTATTGATGTTTTTAAAGATACAAGCTCATCCCGATGTTACACTTATCAAGAGCTTTCATTTGAGTACCCACATGCATTTTTATATATTTTTCATATATACATGTATATAATATAATATATGTAAATATATGAAAAATTGATGTAGGTACTCAAATGAAAGATATCGATGAGTGTAATATCGGGGTGAGCTTATATCTTTAAAAATATCAAATGTTTACAAGATACAAGGTCATTTTTTAATTATGTGTCTATATGATAAAGTATTTTCGAATGCAACCTAAATACTTATCATAATAAATTAAATGTCGGTGAGATTGATATGAAACCTTGAAAAGACAAATTTCAAGTCAAGACCATTGCAATGACACTAAATTTCACTAAAAAAAAAAAAAACAATTTTATCATATGACTATCCTGGACATAAAATTTTTCTTATTCTCTTAATAATATATATTATAATATAATTAACATCAGGTTAATCAGACCAAAGTTGTTGTTTTATGTTGATTATATTTAACGTGGAATATGGACCTGAATAACGAACTGAGTATAGATTATAATTTTAAAATCCTTTTTCTCAAAAATAGTTTTTAAAAACATTTTTATCAGTTTTTATTTAAATATTCAAATTAAAAAAAAAATTATTGATAATAATTTTTTTTATTTTTTCTCGACTATCATTATTTTTTTATTAATTGTTTAAAAAATAATTGATGATTAATTGTTGAATTAATTATTAATAATATTTTTTTTTAGGTATGGATGGACGAGTTCGCAGAATATATCTACAAAAGACGTCCCCATTTAAGATCCCTAGACCCTGGAGATCTGACAGTCCAAAAAGCTTTGCGTGAAAAATTAAACTGCAAGCCATTCAAGTGGTTCATGGAGAACATAGCTTTCGACTTAATGGATACATACCCGCCAGTAGAGCCCGAGGACTTTGCGCTGGGAGAAATCAGGAACATCGGCGTGTCAGAGCTGTGTCTGGACGCGAAGCGAAGGGCCAAGAATGAAGCTATAGCTGTTGACCTCTGCGTAAAGGACAACGTGAAAGTTGCGAATGGGGAGCAAGAGTTCAGGCTGACGTGGAGGAAGGACATTCGTCCCAAGACGAGAACGGATTGCTTGGACGTCTCCAGTGGGGTCGCCAAGGCCCCGGTGACCCTTTACCCCTGCCACGGACAACAGGGCAATCAACGCTGGCGGTACGACGTTGAGAAACAGTGGCTGCTCCACGGGCTGGGCGACAGGTGTCTGGACACCGACCCCGCCACCAAAAAAGTCTTCGTCTCCGCTTGTGACCCCGCGTCCAGCACCCAGAAGTGGAGGATCCACGAGGTCAATATGAAGGCCATCAACAACTGGGAGAACGTCGGCCCCAAATTATAATAATTGTGTTTTTATTTTTAGTTTTAATTATCATGAGACTGAAGTTGACAGACATTAGAAATTTTTTTATTATTTTATAGCAATTAAATTATTAAAGAAAAATTTTTATTAAAATATTCCACAAGTGAAAATTTTTTAAAAATTATTCCTGGAAATTTTTTAAAGCATTTTTTTTATTGTAATTAATTTGGTAAAAAAATTGTCAGCTAACTTCAGAATCATTAATTATCACATTCCAATAATTGAATTTTTTTAATGAAGAAATATTTAATAAGTCAGTTTTGACTAGTCATTGGCTATTTGTTACAAATAATTAAGAAAAAAAATTCAGAAAAGTAACCAACTTTTATATTATGAATAATTAGTTTTTTTTTTTTTATTCTTGTAAATATATATATTGAATGTTGTGCCTTAAATTGGTTATTGAAATTGCCATTAATATTTTATCTAGTAGACAATTAATTATTATTTTTATTTTAATTATTATTATTAAAAATAATAATATTATAATTGCTCAAATTAATTTTATTTAAACAGTGTCTGACAAGTTGACATAACCTGTATTAAGTAATCAATACTATTAATTATTAAGAGTATATTTTTTGTATAATCAAATTAGCTATTTGTATATAAAGTATTCAATCAATTTTATTATTTTCTTTATTCATTTAATTATTTGAGTCGCTTATATTAAATTAGAAATAATTATTAAAAAATTTAGGTTAGTTTTATACAAAAGTACAATGAAGAAATATGGAGAAGAATTTTCACTGTGATTAAATAAATAAAAAAAGAAGAAATATTAAATCCACTTTAGAAAAATTCCTAAATTAATTTATATTCTTACCTTCAGCAGTAGCACATTCGCCATCCGGGTGAGCCATTCCCTGCATAGCCGTCGGGGCTATTCCCAACGGCATCGATATTTCTTCCCCGAGAATCCTCGTACCTATCTCACACTTCAAAACATTTGTCAAGACTTTCGGGCGAATTTTGTATCTAATTATCGAGTTATAAAATTAATTTAATAAAAATAAACAATAATAATAATAATAATAATTAATAAAATAAAAACAAACTTTTTAAACGCATCTTTGTTCCACTCAAGCGTAAATTCTTTTCCCGCACCACTAGCGTAATAATCTTTGACCGCTTTCGGCAAAATTTGGAGCGCCGATTTTTCAAAATCATCAACAGAAACAAAATTATCCATTTTTAATTTTAAACGACAATAATTTATACGACCACTCAAGAGCGCAATTAATCTTCAAGTGTTAAAACTTATCGATGGAATTTTGAACTGTTTAACGTGGCCCCTTACTGATGTTGACGTACAATTGTACAATTAACAACATTGAGTAATTAAACATTAGTAGATGTACGCGTTATAAAAAAAATGTTATTTATTTTTTAAGACCATTAATTACTGCCTCTCTTTAGCGGACAGTAAAGAATAATCACATGTCAATTGATAAAGCATTATTTTTCTTCAAATCTTATCGTAACTCAAGTGAAGATCATGTAATTGAACTATGGTATAATTCCAAATGATTCAACATTTTATTACATTCGTCAATAATACACTTTTTCACTGAATACTCCATCTCAATTTGGTTAAGAAAAAAATACCTGCAACGTATGTAAGTATAACTTAAAAATTATCAATGACATTAAATAGTATTATTATAATATTAATTTAATTTTAAAGACACTGAAGTTAACTGACATTAAAAATTTTTTTATAATTTTATATCAATTAAATTATTATAAAAAAAAATTTCCACGTGTGAAAATAAAAAAAAAAATTATTAGTGGAAATTTTTTAAACAATTTTTTTTATTGTGATTAAATTGTTATAAAAATAAAAAAAAATTTGACAGCTGTCAGCTGACTTCAGTATCATAAATTTTGTTGCAGGTACAATATATTTTCAGGCGGAATAAAATGCTTACATTAAATGCTATTAACAAATATTACAAAATTATTATTATAATATAATAATTATTAGCCCTTTAAGGTTTGTATAATTTGTCTAAACACTTAATCAAAATAATAATAATATAATTTAATATAGTATATATAAGTGGTTGATCATGAATATAAATATTTTATGGTTATGTCGAATAATTGGTCAATGCAGGAGACGGATAATTAACTCCGTTTTATTTATTTAAGGTAATTGTGTTTATTTAAAATAGAAAATAACAAACTGCAAGCCAGTTCATACTTCTTTTTATTATTTATAGTAATAAATAGTCTGGCTATTTTATTAATTAACTTTTATTCTACTAATGTTATTGTTATTGTATAATATTGCAGTCGTTAATCTCTATGTTTTGTTTCTTCTTTGTTATCATCATCATTTGTTTTAGTTATTTTTATTATTATCATTATTATTATTATTATTATTATTATTATTATTATTATTATTATAGTTCAGTTTTAATAAAATTAACAGATTTATTAATTTAAACAATATATAATAATAATTATTATTATTATAATTATAATAATAAAGCATTTGAGTGATAGGCAAAAAATTACATAATTTTAGTCACGAGCACCGTTCAGTTGAATGTTTCTTTAATTAAATATTAACGACGCTGTCCAGGAAATATTGTTATTATTAATCAATAAAATATAGTACAATGATTAAAAGTACATGCCTGCAATGATTTGCATAACACAGTGCCTGGCAACAAATAAAAATTAGTAATAGTAATAATTAAAATTAATAAATCAAGATATATATATTGAATTAAATAAAATTGTTTAATTATTATTATTAATGACAATAATTAGTATTACTGCAGTGTATTAATATTCAGTATTTGTTATGCAGTTTATGTACAAATTGATTTCCTACAATTCGCTCTTTTTATTATTATTTTTCTTCAATTAGATTTTTTTTTTAAATATTATTCGTCGTAAAACTTAGCGTAACATTTTATTTATTTTTTTTTTGTTATTGTATTTGTGTTTAATAAACCTACGTTAATCCGCAACAAACGTGGATTCGCTTCGACAGTTAAATTAATAATAATAATAATAATAATAATAATAATGATAATAATAAAAATAACTAAAACAAATGATGATGATAACAAAGAAGAAACAAAACATAGAGATTAACGACTGCAATATTATACAATAACAATAACATTAGTAGAATAAAAGTTAATTAATAAAATAGCCAGACTATTTATTACTATAAATAATAAAAAGAAGTATGAACTGGCTTGCAGTTTGTTATTTTCTATTTTAAATAAACACAATTACCTTAAATAAATAAAACGGAGTTAATTATCCGTCTCCTGCATTGACCAATTATTCGACATAACCATAAAATATTTATATTCATGATCAACCACTTATATATACTATATTAAATTATATTATTATTATTTTGATTAAGTGTTTAGACAAATTATACAAACCTTAAAGGGCTAATAATTATTATATTATAATAATAATTTTGTAATATTTGTTAATAGCATTTAATGTAAGCATTTTATTCCGCCTGAAAATATATTGTACCTGCAACAAAATTTATGATACTGAAGTCAGCTGACAGCTGTCAAATTTTTTTTTATTTTTATAACAATTTAATCACAATAAAAAAAATTGTTTAAAAAATTTCCACTAATAATTTTTTTTTTTATTTTCACACGTGGAAATTTTTTTTTATAATAATTTAATTGATATAAAATTATAAAAAAATTTTTAATGTCAGTTAACTTCAGTGTCTTTAAAATTAAATTAATATTATAATAATACTATTTAATGTCATTGATAATTTTTAAGTTATACTTACATACGTTGCAGGTATTTTTTTCTTAACCAAATTGAGATGGAGTATTCAGTGAAAAAGTGTATTATTGACGAATGTAATAAAATGTTGAATCATTTGGAATTATACCATAGTTCAATTACATGATCTTCACTTGAGTTACGATAAGATTTGAAGAAAAATAATGCTTTATCAATTGACATGTGATTATTCTTTACTGTCCGCTAAAGAGAGGCAGTAATTAATGGTCTTAAAAAATAAATAACATTTTTTTTATAACGCGTACATCTACTAATGTTTAATTACTCAATGTTGTTAATTGTACAATTGTACGTCAACATCAGTAAGGGGCCACGTTAAACAGTTCAAAATTCCATCGATAAGTTTTAACACTTGAAGATTAATTGCGCTCTTGAGTGGTCGTATAAATTATTGTCGTTTAAAATTAAAAATGGATAATTTTGTTTCTGTTGATGATTTTATTATTATTATTTATTTTTATTTTAATTAAAATCTATTTTAAAAATTTAAATAAATTTATATAATTAAATAATAATAAAAAATAATAATAAAATAAATCTAAGTGGCATGATAAATAATTAACAAACTTTATTTATTATTCTCGACGCGATTGTTGACAACTAATTAATACATTTTAATAAGTATATTTTTATTAAACGGACGACTGGAGATTTATTACAATTCTTACGCTCTTCATCACTGACTAGAATCCCAGTTAATAAAATTGGCTTTAAATTTCATTGTCATTGATTTTAATCTAAATTTTAGACGAAATATTATTAATTTACTTTCTTTTAATTAATTAATTAATGTGTTAATTTACATTACTGCATTATGAGAAATGATCTAATACATAAATAAATAATTAACCATGCAGATTTATTAAAAGTCCTTAAAATGGAATTGAGCAGCGAGGGGTACGCATTGTTCCGTTTATTTTATTTATTTTCATTTTCTTCATTTTTATTTTTTTTTTTAATTCTGTTACTTTTAAATGAGTAAATAGTGAGCCAACAACTCACTCGTGTTCTGTTATTATTTTTATTATTATATAATAATAAATTCAACATTATCGTGTGTATGAGACAATAAACTATCATTATGCCGCATAATAATGGCCATTAATTACGTTTATTTATTATTATTATTTTTTTATTTATAAATTTTCATTCAAATCCAGTTATTCGATACTGTTTGAAAAATAATTAAAGATTAACGTTTTACACTCGTGTGAGAATACAATTAAATATTAAATAATAATAACTATAATATTAATAATAATAATAATAATATTTATCAACTAGAATGTCAATAACAAAAAAAAAAAAATAATAGTAATAATAAAACTTATCATACGAGTTTAAATGTGTACAAAAAACCAGGATTTACAACAGCGCTGCACTCTCAATGTATAATAGAAATATAATAAATTTTTATCACATATAAAAAGCAGTATATATGTACATATATATGTCTGAATAATATTAGGTACCCATTTTAACTTGAACTGATCTACATACTTATTAGTTTGTTACTCTTACTCTCGTTTTCACTCTCGCTCGCTCACTTTGTAAAAGATTATTAAAATTGTTATTACAATTATTTTCATTTTTATAATTTTGGCGCACTGTTACAATACAAATCAGTTATTAAATGTAATTACAATTGATGATATTTCCTGGCCTGGTCGGGAGATAGTCGTTGATTTAGTCTCATTATTTTTTTTATTTATTTGTTATTTAAACTTCTTATACACACACGATTTTTTTTCATCATTCTTATCTATGACTTTATTTTCTTTAAATATTTTATCTAACATACGTTATTATTATTTAGAGTTGCAATCGATTGCTAAACTTACAACAAACAATAATGATATCAATAGTAGTGATAATAATAATAATAAAACTAATAATAATATAAATACAAAAAGTGCAATAATAAGATTACAACTCTAAAATGATGGCTCAAACTAATCTTCATAATGTGAATTTAAATAATAATATATAATTTTATTAAATGATTAAATTAATAAATAAACCATCTTAATAATTACTAACGTACGTTATACTTTAGATCTTTTAAATCGAACGAAAATTTATTATTTATTTAATTATAGTGACTCTAATTTAAACGTAAATACGGAGCAAAAACATTTTTACGAATGGCTTTTCTATTATAATTATAAAAATAAGTTTCGATGATACGGGACCTTCCCTCGGCATTGCAAAGGCTAGATATATTTTCAAAGCCCCCAAAATGTATGAGTAATTTATTATACATTTCATACGGTGTAAGAATTCTGTTCTAAATGTAGTCTACCATCAAATCAGCAGAGCACTTGCGAGAAGCGCTACTGAAGTGACATCTACTTTAGAGTTGCGGAAGCTTTTTTAATTTATATACGGGTGCAAAAGGAAAGGCACGACTTCAGTTATACATCCACTTCCGTTATAAAAAAGAAAATAATAATAATAACAATAATAATTTACGGGAAGCTAAATTTAATATTTAAACAACTGCCAGAATTGGTTACTATAATTATAAACGTTTCCGTTTTTTATTCGTCACTGATAAAGTGATAAATTATGTTCGATTAAGTACAAAATTGTAATATTTAATTATTTTAATCGTCATTACTTCATTATATATTAATATTTAATGACTCAGTTTTATAGAACAGCAAGATGAGAAACTAAAATGATCCGACAAGATTGTTTTATTTATTTTTTTTTTTTTTTTTATTAATTATTTATCATGTTAAATTCTACCGTACAAAGAGTACTGTATGTCCTGGTTTTGTCTCATGATGCAAGAACTCTAATCCACTCGTTTAATTACTTTTTTTTTTTTATTTTTTTTATTAGTATTAATAATAAACATTATGTTCAAATTTACATAGAATAATAATTACGGTAAAATTGCCATCGCTTACGATTTAATAATTGATAAGAGACTGGATCCCACCATAAATCACTATTTCTCGCTATACATTTGTACAACTTAATCGTGTGACCGGCCACAACTACACACTTAATTTCTCTGTCACTCATCTGCTCGTTAATAATATTATTATTATTATCATTATTATTATTATTATTATTAATATTATTATTATTATCATTACCATTAAATAATTCATTTTTTTTTGTTTTTCATTATTGTTAGAAACTACAGTGACCGGCGACGATCCAGTTGACCTGATATAACGTTAAAAATATGCGCGTCCAGTAACAAATTAAAAAAATGTTTACTCCAACTGTACAATAGTAGTGTCGAGTCAGATTAAATATTTGAAATAATCAACCGGCTCTTGCGAAAAATTTATTACTCAACAGAACGTTATCGTGATCGCGTAAACACCGATTGAGCGACACCGACGTTCATTATGGATCCTGACTACTGTTTTGAGGTGACTCTGGGTTTTGAGAAGTCTGTACTTGACTCACGTGAGGTATATGAACAGGTGACGGCGTAGGTTGCTGCTTTTCTTGCTGCTGTTCATTTTCTTCTTGCATTTGCTGCGTTACTGTTACATCCGGTTGACCAGCATACCTAAAAAAAAAAAAAAAAAATAATATTTTAGTTAAAATATTGGTAGTATAAAAAATTTTTTTCAAACAAAAGTTCAAAATTTAATTTTGTAAAAAAATTTTCTCTTATGTGTAACGTTGCAGCAAATTTTAAAGTTGAGCTCCAGATTTAAGAGATTATTTAAATTAAATAAAACCTCGATCATTCCGTTAAAAAAATTGTTTTAACGGAGTGACGAGGAGATAAGGAAATTCTGTGAACGCTGCATTGAGCCTCGATGGTGTTCACCAGGGTAACCTGAGATGCGGCGTTGCTACATTTAATTATTAAAATCTATTGTACTGGATGAAAATCCAAGTCAGAGTACCCTGGGCAACCAGGTGACAACCATCTTCGGCTCCGGACGTAAGTCCGGTGCCCGAATTACTGAACCTTTTTAACATATTTAATTTAACATGGTTAATTCTCTAATAATTATTTAAAAAATTTATAATAGAGTATCAAAAGAGCAGGGTGCGCCTGGAAAAAATACATATCCTAAAGACATCCGCCTGGAAAACTTTAAATAAACTAGCTGGAAATCCAAAACATTACATATGTTTTTTCCTTAGGATCAATAATTTCACCATAATTTCAAAAGTAAGATTCATAATTATCATAAAATAAAAATTTGAACCTTTCATTGTGAATCTTAATTTTGGAGTTACTCCAAAAATATTATTTTTTTTTTAATCATAAGAAACATTTTTTTTTATAAAATTAAATTGTGAATAACTTTTGTTTACTAAATCTTTTTCTAGGACAAATATTTTCACCGTAATCTCAAAAATTTGAAGCATATATTTAAAAATTCCAGCAAAAATTTTGACCTTAATAAATAAAAATGAATAAAAAAAATAAAATAAATTACCTTTCAGATCCAGGAACCCACTGTGAATTACTTCCTCGTTTATAATATTCCTCATTAACCTCCTCAACTTCGGGCTCTTCTTCAGGGCAAAGTTCAAAGGCACGCTCTAAAGTTTTCTTAGCACTGTTACTGCGTTCCAAAAAGTACCCATTAGTCGACTCGTTGGATTGGGTTGGAGGGGACCAATTATTATAAGCATGAGTATAAGGAGGCGCGGAGGTGTACGGCCGTTTTTCAAGTTCTTCTTGCAACCAGTCGATAGCATGGTTCCACTTTCTTTTCAACTCAAGATTTTGGTATAGCAAATGATGAGCAGTTCGGCACTTACTGAACAATTGAACCATACACTTGATGCACTGATACGCGCGTTTTTGGTAATGATTTTTGCTCTTGATTATCGTTTCGAAAAGTCCTTCTCTTTCGTCTGGGACTCCTTTGAGAGCGTTGTGAATTCGGTGAGTTTGCCACGAGTCTTCCATCAGCAGCATGGAGAGCAAAAGGTCCATGTGATGTCTCAGCTCGTGAGTGTACGCGAACCCTATTTGCCATAGCAGCTCACTGAGGACTGTCCGTGACAGATGTGGGTTTTCCCAACAGCAATACTGTAGCAGTTTGAGAGTGTCTTCGGTGACATTAGCGTCTTCGATTAATTTTTTCATGTAAGTCGTACGAATGAAGAGAATATCGACAGCTTGAGACTGGATGGGCATCAAGTAGTCGGGTTGGCACGATGGATCTCCATACGGGTTTGGTAGAACTTGAACGCCAGCTTGCGCCATACTCGACTGGCATCTAGAAGACACGTCGCAGCAGCGGATTAGCATGCTAACTACTTGATGAAGCTTCGTCAACTCTGGATACTGATATTTTATTGTCGGTCCAGGACCTTCGTCAATAGCGACTTGCATAAATGTCACCGGAACATTTAGCTTCAGCAGCTGAGCTTTCTCATCCAGACCGAGGTTTGCGTACGAGTGAAACAGCGAGAAGTAGTGCGGTAGATGTCTTCCGTGGTCAGATATTTCGCGATGCAAGAGAGACAACACTGCGTGAAGCAGATGGTCACTGAGGGTCGCTGTTGGGTCCAAGAGAATTGAAGGCGCGTTGAAACTCGGAGGAGCACAAGGTCCGTCGTGTAGAGAGTAGTGTGCCAGGAATACCAGGATCTTCATGAACGTGGTTCTTACTTCGGTCGTTTGACAGCTTAGCAAGTACTCGCAGAATCTGTGAGGGTGGTTGAACAACACGTTGTGAGCGAACCACGAACGCACTGCTTTGCTGCAGCGTAAATGGTGACTGAGAATGTCGTACCAATCGGTCGCGGTACCTCGCAGCGTTTTCTTCGTGTGGAACCCGGTGTAGAACAAGAATCTTGATGCCAGTTGCACTGATAACATCGATAATTCTTCGGCCTCCGCTGGCATTTTATCATTGAGGTTCTGTCGATTCAATACGTGTGGTGCGTTGCACGAGACTAATTTCCTGATAAATTGGAAATACTCAGCGCTGAATTGATTTCGGTTATGCATAAATTTAATATTTTGTTTACGGACGCTGTATTCAATTGCTGGCGGCATTTTCATTACTCCCAATTTGGTATCTATAAATAAATTATATTAATACAATATATATTATAAAAGCTATTTTTTAAGATACTGAAATCAGGAGACATTTGACAATTTTTTTATGATAAAAGAAAATATATTTGAAAATTTATTATTTTTTTTAATTATTTTAATTCTACAGGTGGAATTTTTGATAATTATTTACAAGTAGGGTCAACCCCATTTTAGGCCATAACTAGGTAAAAAATTAACATTTTTTAATTTTTTTTTATTCTGGTTGTTTTTACGGCGCATTTATAATAAAAAATCTCGTGAAAGGAAATATAAAAATTTCGATAGCTTTTTTGCCTTTAAAAGTTGGAAAAAAATTTGACTCTCATGTTTTTGGATAAAATTTCTATTTTATCTTTTTTGATATATTTTTTTTTTTTGAAAAGTACATAAAAAAAGGAACATTTAAAAAAAAAAAAAATTTAACATGGACTACCATAAGTTGACCCCACTTGTAAATAATTACCGAATTTTTTTGTTTATTTGTTTTCATAATAATTTAATTATTAAAAAAAATCTAAAATATTTAAGATGTAATAAGTTATATTAATTAATATACATATATTATAAAAGTTATTTTTTAAAATACTGAAATCAGGAGATATATAACAATTTTTAAAATTTTTATCACTAATTAATTATGATAGAAAAAAATATTTTTGAAAATTTATTATTTTCTAAGATCATTTAAAATTATTTTAATTCTACAGGTGGAATTTTAACATGTCTATTAATTTCAGTGCAATTATTCTTTTTTATATAATTAAATAAATATTTTAAAAACTTACATAAAGACAATTCATTAAAACTTTTCATAAGAGAATTTTCTTCAACGTCTAATCTCGTATAAAAAAGCATGTACGCATTCCACCATCTCTTTTGACGACGGAAGTTCATGCGTTTTAACATTTGATCGAATACTTCTCCCATATAATCACCACCAAAGCACTGAGTCTTCATTTCTTCTTCCTCTTCCATTTTACACTCAATTACATCGCCATCATCGAATTTATACCACTTGGCAGTACCATCATTTTGCCTATAAAAATGATTAAAAATTACTCTACATCCTATTATTAATCCCAAAACTAAAAATGAATAAATATATTATTTACCTGTGTAGAATATAAGAATAATAATGACCACCACTAGCTTGTCCGCTGTGTACGACAATACCAGTAAGCTGATACTTGGTACAAGTACCTTTATTAATTTCCTCATAATCACAGTCAATAACTTCCCCTTCGAGTTTAGCGAGCCCACTGACAGTGTAAGGCTCCATGTCTAAATCCCTTGGGAATTCAAAGTAATCGTTAAACTTAATTGCACAGACTCGTTCAAAATCATATTCAAAACGTTTCAATTGAATTGCCAGTACCGGCGGAAGTTTTTTGACACACAGACGTTTTACAGTAACAACCTGAAATAATAAATTTTATTAAACCAAAGCAAAATAAAAAAAAAAAAAAAAAAAAAAAAAAAATCTCAACAATAACAAACCTTTTTGTTACACTTGTCGCAGTGGTAAGCATCTGCTCCTTCCAAAAGTTCGCCCTTGACATACTGCTCGAGAGAATCAAGGAGATTGCTGTGATTCCGAATATCTACACTAATAACACTAAAGGGCTCTTCCTTGGAATACCTGTGAGGACAACCTTTACAAATTTTCTGATCGCTGTAGGACCCACCGAGAATTTTTCCCATTATTTGTTCGTGACCCAGCGCCTTAAGAGCCTCATCTAAGCTCTCGACTAAGCTCATGAAAAATTCAACCGCGTCCTGTTGTTCTCTCAGATTAACCGGCTCACCTTGTAGCTTAAAATGTTTCCAGAGACCACGAGGTATATAGTACTGTAATTTACTGTAAGCCAGGTGTCCAAATATCGCTTGTACTTGCTTAAGAATCCCAATATTGTATTCTTTTCTAGGCTCATCAACACCGCACTTTTCTTCGTTGGTGTCATTATCACTAGCCTCGATAGTCTGTTCACCGTCAACGCGCTCTTCCCCGGAAAAGTCTTCATTCAAGTCCGTGGCGGCTCCCTCCGCGGTCAGCAGTCCTACTCGTATGCTCTCGACCATGTACAGTTGCTGTAAAACAGAATTCATGTAACAAGTAGCCCCGGCATTTTTCAGCCCGACGAATCCTTTTAGCGGTCTGGGGCCCACTGGCGGCAAGTAGTCCCACTCTACAAGCGGCTCATCTCGCTCGGAGTAAAACATATCTGTGAGCATCGTGACTAGAAGTTTCATATTCGGTACGCAGCCGACACACAGGCCGACCAGAAGGTCAAACGCCGCGCTGGTTGACTGCGGGGTTGTACAGACCGGGCTGGCCTGCGGCGAGCTCAGTTCTCCAGTGCTGCGAAGCTGCAGCATCAACCTCGAAGCTGGAAAAATAAAATCATTCACCAGCTCTTTTATCAAAGTCCCACCGCGCTTCTCGTCCGAGCCAAGCTCAAATTTCTTTGACGGCGGAAGAAAAGCTAAAAGTTCTTTGGTGAAACTCAGATGACCCTCCAGCAGCGCATCCTCGACCTGGGTCTCGCCGGTTTCGATTACATTGTTGCGGACTTTTTTCAGCCAGGCTATCTCGATGTTCAGCAGAGCTTCAGCGGAGGGCAACGGACACGAAGATATGTGAGCGTAGTTAAGTAATCTGCACAAAAGTTGAAAGTACTCTTGGCTCTGACGCGCATTTTCGGTAACAGTTGTATTGAGAACACTGAATAGGACCATCAGGTTCAGTTGAAATGACTGGTGGTTGCTGCAGTAGGTTGAGATGAGGAGAAACTGCTCAGCAGCGGCCATCCTCACTATCCTGGACACGCTGACCAGCACGAGGTCCGTGAGAAATGTGTGCCACATTTTATCCCGAGTTAAGTTGGTCAACGCATTTGGATTTAAAACTAGGGCTATTGTCAGCACTTCAAGGGCTTCTTTACACACTAAAATGTCATTGGCTTCTATTGGCCGTGGGTCTCGCTGATTAGCTTCATGCATCGTGTGAAGTACATCGGTAGAAGCGTCGACGTTGTTGAGGTTACCGGTCGAAGCGGCCCAGGCGATTTTTATTATGGCACGTATTGTCGGCATGTCCGGCAATTCGAAATTGACAGCTTGCATAAACATTTGACAGCAACGGTCAGACTCGGTACCGCCTGGAGGCATCTGGTTCACTAAATGTTGAGTCAACTTTGTCGCGACGCTACGTAACATGTATTCGGTGTTTTGATTGGGTACATTTTGCAGCGCTTGCTTTAAAATTACAATAAATCCCCGATTATTGTGATAATGAGTGTCGTGATTGTCTGACTGCTGCATATCATCCAGCACACAAGCCACAACATTTCCAACGACAGTTAACAACAATTTACAGAGTTTTAAAACAGTCAAATACGCGGAGCGTTTAGTTGTCTCATCGGCGTTCGGTAGAAATTTATTTTTAGTCAGCATGTCCAAGATAACGCCAGCTTCTCCACTTTTTATAAAATTGTACTGAAATTCAAAGGCCTTCTCGGATGTGGGATCCAACGCTGGCATCAGCAGCGTGTACAATACCTCGAGGTTGTACAAAACTTGGCTGGGACTCACTGCGAAAAACAGAGTGTCCACGCTGGTGTTTTGTTCGTTGCAGTGCTGGTTAACGGCGCCCTCCTCTTCTTTATAATGGCCAAAGAGCCACTGTAATCGAGCTACCGTGAGAGTGTCTGGTGGGACCAGCTGCAGGAGATTACGCGCGGCGTCTCGAAGCTGTGAGTGCTTCAGCGTGCACCCCAGGTCTGCTAGCTGAAAGAAAAAGGTGACGTAGTGTGGTCGCTGGGACATCACGACCCCTGGTAAGCTGTTTTCGGCCTCGACATTCGGACCGTCGTAAGGATGATGTGGCGAGCTTGTTGAGCTGTCTGAGCTGCTGTCCGGCGAGCTGGGGATGTTGCTGTGCATCTGGCTCAACTTGGCAGACAGCAGCATTTTGTCCCTCAGAGGGATTTGGGAAAGCAGCTTGCGGTCGTCCGCTTGATCCAAAGACTCGCCGTTAATATACAAATCTAATTTAACATTGGTACCGTTGGCCTTTGTCCTACGCAATATTTGCCGCCTCAGAGACGCCAGGGTATCATTGCTGTGTGTGTAAACGTCAATGTCGTCGATATTTCTTCCCGGGCTTACCAGACGTAATATCAAAGACATGTGTTTACCGCGAGCTGCGCGATGCAGAGGCAATATTTTACGTTCTACTGGGAATGCGGTATCACATTCGTTAATATACTCCTGCAGTACTCTCATAACCCGGCACATTTTCAGTGCCTCCATTGTTATTTTGTTGTATTCTTTTTCATCTTTAGCCTCGCTTTTGTCCTCGAAGCTTACTCCCGTGAGTATTGAGACCGTATCGTAGTGAGCTTTTAATCTATCCATACATTCGGCTATAAAAGTTTCATGGAAACTCAGCACTGTTGATTGTAACTTTGGTCCTAGATTTGTGTTTACTTCCTTGAGAAGTTCAATACCCCGACAAGCTATTTCTTCGGGACAGTTTGTGATTACACGCCAAAGATAGTCACTTCCGATTAAATCTACATCGTCCATCAGGTAGGTACGGCGTTTTGTTTTCAGCCTTCCTTCCTTGGAGTTAACGGCTTTGAAGAAACGCTCGTAACACTTTATGCCGCTCTCGGTGAGCAACGTAGGGTCTAATTGAAGAATGTTGTTCTCAAAAAAATCTTTGTTGATCGCGGGATCGAGATCCGGCTCTTCGCCCATCAATTTAGAGAACCACCTGAAACAGGCTTCACGATCAGACACAAAGACCGCTTGCTCGGCTAAGCACTGCCAAATTTGCTTGGCCTGCTCGGCGCACAACCACAATTGTCCATCTTTAAGTAAGAAACGTAAAAAATTAAGTCTCTCCTGGACTTGGAGAATATGATTGTAACGTCCATCTGGCATAAAGTTCATTGCGTCAATATCTGGGTTATCTTTTACGAGTTGTCGCACTTTGTCCATATAATTTGTTAAACTATTTGTCACAAGTATAACGACACTGTGTTGATTTTGTAATCGATCGATAACTTCTTGCCGATAATAAACATGATGACTGCGTTGGTTGTTTCCCATGTTGGGATTTGGTTCGTACAATGTGCAAATTTCTTTTATTTGCTTCAACGCAGGAAGTGCCCACTTGTCGCCACTTTTTAATTCTTCCACACACTTGTCCAACCAGACTGTCTTCTGGGCGTCTCGGTCTTGAGAACAAGAATAGTCTAGAATTTTAACGTGGGCGTTCAACGCCTGGTCCATTATCTCTGTGGGGACTTCGTCCGAGTGAGCTAAATTCCAGAATAAAGTCAATACTTTGTGGGCCATCACACCGTCTTTGTCATCCTCAGCCAACCGACGAATCAACTCCAACAACTTTTCTCGCTGCTTTTTGTTCGCCGTTTTCCAGCTGGTCTGAAAACACTCAAAAAGATGGTCCAGCTGCTCGGGACTAAAGTCCCACGCCAACTTGGCGAGTAAGTCGTGGATGTTCTTGACTATTGCCTCGTGTTTGCCTGCCTGGGCAGCCCAAACCGCGTCCAGGTCCTCGAGCGTCAACGCGCGCTCCTTTATGATGAACCGCAGGATCTTCTCGAGCTTCTCGACGTACTGCGGCTGGTGCAATGAGTCCCGTAATACTATTTCCAATACGTCATTGTCCTTTATCCACTTGGCCATACGCTCTGCGGTTAACCACTCCTCGTCCTCAAGCGTTGGGTTACGGTGAGGATAATAACTAACACTTGTTATAACTTTGTTTACTTCATTAAGTGCATTCATTTTACCGTTAAATGATGAAATTTGTAAAAGTCTTAGAATCATTTTCAGTCTCAATACTTCTAAATTTCTTATCATTACTTCTTGATGCGGTACACGTGATACTAAATTTTTCATGGCTTTTATTATGGCCGAAATAGCGTCATTTTTCGATTCATTTTTCGCCTCTTTTTTCAACTCCTCGTCCGTTAATTCGTCCAATATTACAGGCACTATATCCTAATTTAATTTAAAAACATATATGCTGTTAATTAATCGCTCTTTATTTTTTAGGTAATTATTTACAAGTGGAGTTAACCCATGCTGGGTCATGTTAAATTTTTTTTTTTTTTTTATTAAATTAATCAATTTTTTTTTTTTTAAATTGTTCGTTTTTTTATTTATTTTAAAAAAAATATATCAAAAAAAGATAAAGTAGAAATTTTATCCAAAAACATGAAAGGCAATTTTGTTTCCAATTTTTAAAGGCAAAAAAGCTATCGAAATCTTTATTTTTTCCTTTCATGACATTTTTTATCATAAATGCGCCGTAAAAACAAGCAGAATAAAAAAAATTAAAAAATTTTTCACCTAGTTATGGCCCAAAATGGAATTGACTCCACTTGTAAATAATAATCATATTTTAAATTTAAGGAGATCTAATTGCTTATTAAAATTTTTAATTTTATTTGTAAAATATTGAACATTAATTTCCTTCATTAAACTTTATGGAGCAATCAGATCTCGTTAATAAAATTATTTAAATAAATTAATAACTTACAGTTATGGGCATTAGATATTTAACTATCGTATGAACAGTCAGTAGTTCATAACAGAGACCAAAGGGTCGTATTAACGCGTATATTACAGGTATTGTGAGATTTACTCCACTTTGAAATCTTGATAATAAAATATCAAACCCACCAAGGTTACCAAATCTGTGAAACATAAATAAATATTATCATTTAAAAAATTTTTTTTTAAATAACAAAAGATTCAAAAATAATTAATGAATTATCTAATAAAGTACCTGTTGATTAAATCAACCAGCCACCCGCGAGGATTTCTCAGGTCTGGCGACGGCCGAGCATAAAGCTCTTCATCCGGAATATTACTGGAGCCAGGTGGAACGGATTCAGAAATTCTAGCTGCGTTGAAGGTATGAAATTTATTGTTCGGGTTGAAGACCATGGCCAGGAGATCGAGGAGGGGAAACCAATCTTGGTCTAGCTTGAGGACACACAGTTCAATCAATCTCTCACAGTTAGCGTTAATACAATTATGTATGTGAGGCTTCCAACTGTTGACAGCGTCATCGGTGAGAATTTTAGTGAAGGAAATAGTGCAGCCCTCACGAAAAAAACGCTGGCATGCTTCACTGTGTACATCAAGCCCTAGAAAATCAAATCACCGATTTAAATAAATACTTTATCGACAAATAAATAAATCAATCAACGGTTTAATAATAAACAACAACAAACCTCTTTTACACAAATCTATACTGGCTTCCAACAGACACTCCAACTCTTGATCCGGCAGAACAGGCACGACCCAACGTGAACTTGTTATTTTTTCATCTAACATAGCTAATTTAGTATGTGGAAAGTCCCGCTTAACTTTAAGCTGATTATTTTCATCAGTTGACGTAGCAGTCTCATTAGTTGACTCTGTTTGTACATTTTCAGTCAAATGAACCTCTGAATTAGAGTTCTCTAACGCTTGTTGTGATTTAAACAGTGTCATCTTTAAAAAATGGTACAAAAAATCAATAAAAAATGTATAAAACAATACAGTAAATAAATATAATTCAGACATAAATAAGAACCTCTCTAGCAAATCTTCGCGTAATATCTTCCAATTCGGTTTCAGTGCTTCTTATTCTTCGATTTAGCGCATCATCTTGTTCAACCTGTGCTACTTGTGCCACCTGTGTCGTCTGCTGGCTCTCCGGTGGATCTATGCCAACCCCCTGACCTCTTGTAGCGATTGTCATTTTTTATTCCGGTCTATTACTCCAACTCGTATTTCTGTAAGTCGTCTCAACAATGCTACACCATCAACAGCAACCATTCAGCTCATACACTTGCATTTAATTAAGTATATCTTTGTTTTTTTTTTTTTTTTGTTTTTAATTATTTATTTAGTATCCTTTGCTTTATTAGATATATCCTAGAGGCCTCGTTTCAATAACCTATGTCTACATTATCTGAAACAGTCAAACATCGTAAATTATTAGACAAACAATCTCGACATTAAAGTCACTCACAATGTCAATAATAAAACCCCAAACCAATTGTAATTTTATAAAATAAAAAATTAATAAAAGTATCATTTTTAAGTTTACTTTTAAAATCACAACTCCAATTTACGTATGACTAAATCTCTGAAAATATCTCGTGTAAATTGTACCCGTCAAATATATCATACAATTTAGCCGTTAAATAGATAAAATAATAATAATCGTACTTATATATATATATATATATATACACGTAGATGGGAATGTATCGGTATATATCTATATATGTACGTACTGGTAAGTATAGATATATATATATATGCATTGTAGGTATAGGTATATGTATACGTATTTATACAGAGTTGTTACAATGAGAATGAGAAAGCGTTAGAATGAGTAAAGTATGTAAAAGTGCCAGGATTCGGTTACGCCAACAGCCAAATTAGATTAGATGATTGACTTCCCTCTTGGCTGTTACGATAAAAAAGACAATGCCGTGTCACGTCGTCGCTATCGTTGTCGTAGTCATACTCGGCCGTCTTTGTACACATTTAAATAGATATTAAATATTAAACCCGTGGAGTATTACCATTTACTGATGAGTTTTTACTGTCAATGATGATAACCACCCATGCAACGGAGAAGTAAACACTCAAAAAAAAAAAAAAAAAAAAATAATTTACTTAATGGAAAATTGTAGGTAATTATTAAAATTACTAGCAAGCGGTGAGAATACGTGAGCATGCAAAAATTTTCACATACTTGCAGCACAAGCAGAATGACAAAAAAAAGTGGCGTAGTCTACCGACGTATTTCGAGACATACACTCGGACAATAAATGTTTATTGATAATTATTTTAAAAAGACCGGGGTTGCGAGTAAGTACACCGGGTGATGATCCTACTGGTGTAATGGGTTGTCAACGGTCTTAATAAGGCGGTGTGTCGTTAATTATTATTTTTCGTCGGTCGGCCGTTTGTTCAACCGGGCCTCCTCATACAAAATGGCGACCTTCCTAACGATTAGCACTGCAAATGTATTCGGAGCGTTAAATAATCTAATAGATATATTTAATTACTGGTGGGTTATTGTTTTCGTGTGGTTATTTATGATGACACAACACACGCCCAGTAATATTGTTATATTTAATAATAAAACGCACCTTTACATAGTAAATGCTCGTATAACTCGCGTTGCACTTTTTTGACGTGACGTTAAAAACTCACGGCTAACTTGTAAACATGACTATCACCGGCGCTACCATCGCACCAGTAGCACCACCACCACCACCACCACCACCAACCTCTCTACCCTTTCTCAACCCAATATTTTCATTCTTTATTTTATACTATTGTTTTTATTATTTTTCTACCGCAATATATAGATAAATTTTATTTGAATTTTTTAGATATAGATGCGAAATTTTCAAGACACTCAAGTTAAGTAATATTAGAATTTTTTTTATAATTTTATAGCTAGGTATTAAATTATTATGAAAAAAATTTCACTTTTGAAAATTAAAAAAAATTATTTGTGCGAAATTTTATAAAGAATTTTTTTTATTGCAATTGATTTTTTCTAAAAACTAAAAAATTGACAACTGTCAGCTAACTTCAGCATGCTTCATTAAAAAAATTGTTAATGTTAAATAAATGTAAAAAAAATATTTCAAGTACAAAATTTTATTTAATTACTCCAAAAAAATTATAATCGTTTTACGAATTGAATAATGAAACAAGTAACAAGATAAAAGTATAAAAATTTTTTACATAATAATTAATCAGTAAATCATTGAATTTATCTCTGCAGACACATGAGTCAGATAAAGTTATTATTAATCATGAATAAACATTAAAGAAAATAAATTCACTTACACTTCTATAATTTACATTCTTAAAAATAAAGAGTTTTTATAACAAAAGTTTTAAAAACTGGAAAGTGGAGTAAATAATGAAACAATTGAAAGTAAATATCTAGCACCTTATCCCAAGTATTTATTATGCAGTAGATTTTGTTTATAATTTTACAGTTTTGTACACGTACAATATTAATTTAACTCATTTTATTTACTCATTTGTGATAATAAGCAGTTTCAATTAGTCCATAAATATTACGCTATCGTTACAAACAATCTGTACTTTTTTTTTTCTTGATAACACTGATATTAATTTAACATTTTGGAAGTCATTTCGAGATCAGAGTGTTACATAGACTTAATTATACAATTATCAATGGGAGGATAACTTTAGATCATAACGTGAGCTCAGCAAGCTCAAGCTGGAGTTCTTCTTCTTTATTTATTTTCTCAACTTGATTTTTTTCTAATCGTTTACCAGTAGCTTGCAACTCTTTTAATTTATTTATAGTCTTCAGTTTCTGTAAAAAAAAAAAAAAAAAATTTAATTACTCCAAAAAAAATAAAAAAAAAAATGAATAAAAAATTATACTTACGTTTTTAATAAGTTTAATTTTTTTATTTTTCTCAGGATCGTTGGTGAGATCAGGATCAGGTGTCGTAGGTTTGGGTTTCGGCGTGGGATTGGGCGCTGGATCATTTTCTTGTCCGTTAGAATTATTTTTCTGCGCGTTAGCTTCCAACTCTTTCTTGGCTTTCTTGGCCTCGCGCTTCTTTTTGACCTTAAGCATGGCTTTTGACGGTGCATTACCGGCGTTTTTCTTCGCGGGGTCGTTGTCGTCGACGTCGTCATGCAGTTTGAAGTTTATCGTGCGACCACGGGCCGAAGGAGGTCGGTAGACTTGCTTGGAAGCCTGAGGAGCACTGGGCGCAATACCCTCAACAGCCTTGTAACTAATTTCCTGTTCCGGGAATGAATTTACTGGAAACCGCTGCCAGATGATTTCCCAGAGTTCTTCCTGCTTGTTCCACGGTCTCTCGTAAAGTAGAGTCCCGGAATAGTGCCAGATTTTAAACCCATTAGCCATACGCAACCTTGGAGCAGTGGTAGCAGTCATAAAATGCTGACCATCCGGCGACCAGTGGAGCAAAGTAGTATCTGCTGCGTCAGCTTGAGCAATTAATTTTCTCTTATTCATGTCCCAGAGCTCAATACCTCCTTGTAAATTCCCGAACCCGCCAAGCAATAAAATATTACCATGAGGATTATAATAAATGCTATTACGATGTTTCTTCCCGAACTCAAAAACCGGATCACACTTCAAGTTGAACAGGGTGGCTTTGGACGGCATAAAACCATAAATTACCGCAAACTCGTTGCCCTTTGGTGACCATGACAACTCGTGGATTGGACCTTCCTCGCCTAGAGTTACTATCGCCGTGTTTCCCTTCGTACTGAGGTAGTGTAGTGCCTGCTTACCGTAATACGAAGCTCCGGTCTTGTCGATGTCCATGCTTGTCATGATCAACACACTGGTTCCCTTCGAGTTCCAGTAAAAGTCCACTCTGTCGGACTGAAAGAAACTCTTGGTCGCCAAGGATTGTGCGCTGTCCAGTTTCGGGTATTCGAACAGTCGAGCCAACGACGGCTGTCCCGTTTTACCTGGCGTGTAGATTACAATGTAGTACGGAGCATTTCCAGGTGCTACTTTAAATCTTCCGACTTTGGTCACGTTTATACGATGAACGACTTTTCCGAAATCTGCGTTCTCGTAGATTACTATGTCCGTGTTGATCAGGATCGCGCAGATTTTTTCGTCGTCTGACCACTGGGGCTCCCTGTAATTAATATAATTTTAATATAATTCAGTTATTTTCTTTCATTTTTTATGAGATTAAAGTTAGCAATCGCTTGACCACTAAATTTAAAAAATATTCACCAATCAATTTGACGTTTTTGAGTAAAACTTTGGACATGCTCGCCGTTTTCCGACTTCCAAATGTGGAGCTGAGGGTTACCTTGAGGATTAGCTGCTGATACTAATAAAATAATTAAAAAAAAAAAAATTATTAATTAATTTATAATAAAATAAAATAATTTTTAATAAAAAAATTTACCGATGAAAGGCTCCCATGTCATTAAATAGGTCCCGAGTGTTGAAAATTTAAGAGCACATACTTTGGGCTTTTCAATGACAGCAATGACAGCCCAAGTACTGCACGACACTATTTTAACAGTGGCTCCAGAGATCCAGGCGAAATATTTTCCATCTGGACTGAATGTCATACACTTACAATTCCTGCCGTCGTCTTTGACGAAGGAAGACACATCCTCGTACCTCGGAGGGCCATAGCTCACGCTGATGCCGGTGGATCCTCTCACTGAAAATAATCATTTCATTATTACACCGTCATCGTGGACATTATCAGAATATCAGGCGTTACAGTTATATTAATTAAATATACACGACACACTAACGTATTGATATTTCGACAATTTTAACCTATCAGTGACTAATTTGTGTGAGGCTTGAGGGGGAATTTTTTGGAAAAATAATAAGGGCAGGTTTGGAGAGGATTATTTTATAGCGGACGTAGGACCAGATAGGTGATAATTATTATAAATTTTATGTAAAAAACTTACCAGCAACACAAGGAATATTCACGGCCATTTTCCCTGTTGGCCCTCTGGTAGCCAGCTCGCCACTCACCATGCGGGATCCCGGGATGTTACACACATCCGTGGCAGATGAGTTTGTATGGGTGTTTATTATGTTTATTGAGTGTCGGATGAGTCCGGTTATTTTCGGGTGAGTTTCAATTGCGACGAGCGCGTTAATTTAAAGTAATATAATTTCAGTTTTATGATTAAAAAATTTGACATGTAGAAATTAAGAAAAATTATAAGCACATTTTTTTTTTGTTCTAGTTTGTTATAAAAATTATCAGCTGTCAGCTGAGTTTTATATTTTTTGCTATAAAAAAATTTTATTAACAATAATTAATTAACAAACAAAAACATTAATAATAAATTTTTTAAACTCACCGTCCGCCATTTTGTAAATATTTTTTCGGAAATAATCGTAGCTTCTATTAATTCTACCTTCAGCTCACCTTTGTCATACGACAGTTGCTCTTCTTCTTCCCCAAAAAAAATTTTTGGTCTACACCTCATTATTTTATTGAAAAAAATCAAACTTTCTCAATGAAAAAATATCCTAATTAAAGTTTCGTACTTAAAAATAAAATAAGTACTCCAAAATAATTCTTATTCAAATAACTGTTAAGGGTAACACGCTGAAGATATGTGGGCGTGTACTTAGAACCAGAAAAGAGATAACTCAATGGAATCAAAACAGATGTTAATAATCGCAAGCAGCATGGCGTTAGCTAGCTAACCAATGGTAAAATTCAAACTCAATATCCGTGCTTCGATTGCTCCAAGCTCCCACTTTTGTCCTTTGCTTTTTTACTTTTATTTATTTGTTGCTGTTCCGCCTGGTCCTTGGCTGCCATGCGTGTTATGTTTCGCGAGCAGATTTCTGATGGATTCTGAAGAAGAAAGAATATGAAATGTTACCTTAGAGTAATTAATTAAAAAAAAAAAGATATATATATATATATATATATATATATATATATATATATATATATATATATATATATATATATATATATATATATATATATATATATATATATATATATTATTATTATTATTA